GTTTACATTGTATGATGTTTCATTTCCATGGTGACTATCACTGCTACCTTCGTCACAGTCAATACTCATTAACCATGTGATAGACATGTGTCAATCATGAATTATTCATTTATTTGATTCACAGTAGAGTCACATCAAAGTATTGACGATTGCAATTACATTTTTGGAATGCTCCGGATCAAATGATTGACAGGATCTACAACCAGAGTAAAGTAATGTCTGACAACCGACATTATCGAGGGGTCTCACAGAACACAGAGTACTGAAACTCAAAATGATCCATTTAAATGATCAACCCGAATGACCCGGCTTGTAAGATGAATCAATACTAGAAATAAATGAATGACACATGTCTACCATGTGAACTTCAAATATCTATTACTACTAATAAAATTGCTTTTGGTTTTCTAAATAACTTTTCGATTTCACAATAATTTCATATGAAATACAAATTAATATATATATGAACTTACAAAAGTTAGTTATGTAGTGAGTACTTAATTATATATGGGGTTATTTGCCATAGATGTCACATTTGGTAAGCAGGCAGTGGCGTAGCTACCTTAGGGCAAGGTGGGGCAGTGCTCCGGGGCCCTCAAGCTCATGGGGCTCCACGGCCTTCCCATGTATGGATGTCAACAGTAGGGACCAACATTGAAACTTATCCCTCGGGATTCTTTTATCGGGATGAAAGTATCTTATGTCCTATCCTGAGTCAAGCTCTATCTGTGAGCAAAATTTCATGCAAATCCATACAGCAGTTTTTCAAGAACATAATAAACAAAAAAAACTTTCACTCAACTATTAATTCAGCTCAATTTAGATGTGGTGTCATTTATGTTTAAAACAGCACTGTTGGATCGATTTAGTTTGCTGCTTTGGTATTGATAATTTATAGTTACGAAAAATGCACAAGTAAGAAAATATCATATTGTGTATTATTTTGAAACAGATCCAAATTTGTCCACAGCCTACAGATTTAACAACTTTTAGTAATTTTAGCTGTAAATGTAAAAGTATTATCATTACTGACAGTTATTACAGTATGTCCTTATCAATTACATACATATGTATGCAGTCTTTATATACAATGTTTACATTTGATTTTTCATAACAAAATACGAACAGATTTTGTCTGAAAGTGACGCATGAAAGGGATACATATAGATGTTTATGAGAAAAAACACAAAAGAAGTAATTAAAGAGTTGTTTTGAAAAATCGAAAACTACATATTCATTTATTTTATCAATAGAGTACTGGTAATAAGTTTCAAATTAATTGGACCATATAATAAAAAGTTTCATACAAACTGTGTAACCCTATTTCACCTTTTTAGAGGTTGAATTTTCCTAAATCCTCTCTTAGTAGATGCCTACGTTGTAAAAGGCAGATACTGTCTAATTTTCAGATTTCTAAGTATAGCAGTCTGGGCTGTGATTTGATAGTTGAGTCAGTCACTCAGGATATCCTCTTATATACTATATAGATTAGGACGTACAATTAAATATTATCTGCTACGTTACACATACTACTTAGTATGTGTAACGTGGCAGACGGCTCCGTGGCTTAACAATGAGTTGCTGCGCTGGGTGCCGTGGGTTCAAATCCCGCACAGAACAAGTAATTGTATGGCCTACAAATAATTGTTCTGGGCCTGGATGTTTGTCCTTGTGTAATTTGTGTTTGTAAACTGCCTCCACAATACAGGAGAAAATCCTAGTGTGGGGGTAACGTTTCTTAAAAAAGAAAAAAAAAGAAGTAGTAAGTAGCTTTGCTTTATTATGCCATGCAGTGGGCGGTATGGAGCTGATGATGAAGTAGTTTTACCCCTTTAAAGTATTTACTTTAGTTCTAATAGGGCCACAATTTCATTTCTACCCCAGGGCCCTAGGTTAGATAGCTAGGTCACTGTAAACAGGTTGGGAACAACAGTGTTATTTTTATATAAAATTGTTATCAGGAAGATGCTGCTGCACATGACCTGTTTAGTTTCCCTTTGTTGCGTCTTTAGATATCCAGTACCCAGGGGATAATATTGTGTATACTCTTACCCTATCAACATTTAAATAAAAGGTGCAATACTTATGCTACATAAGAGAATTCTTATCTAGCATAAGAATTCAAGGAGCCTATAAAGCAATTAGCCATTCCATCATTCTTTTTTTAAGTCAGCTAATGAGCCATTCAAAAGTGTACTGAACTGAATGACAATAGTAGTAAGCACAGAATCAATATCACTACTAATATAACATATCAAAAGCCTACATATTTGAATTAGGTATAAGTGAACAGATTTTCTGAGTCAGTGTTAGGCATGCTGATGTAATAGCTACCCCCTTATAAAAATTAATTTTTAGTCTGAATAAGCACTAAGCCATCAGTTGTTAAATAATAATATATTTCAATTATTATGGTTTATATACTGTATTTTAAATTATTATGAAATAGCTCAGGTATTTTTGATGTACATAACTAAACCCTAATTAGATAAACACTGAAGATGCAGTCTTGGAGACCTAGTGATGTACAGAATTATACATCATTGGCATTAATGGGTTACAAAATTACCTTTGATAACCTATAATCTATCATTAAATTGCAATAATGGAAAAAAATTTCAATATTAGATGAAGGGCTTCAAAAAACCAAAATAAAAAGATTTAAATTTAATAGATCAAGGCTAGGCTATAAAACATTAGGCTATAAAACATATCATTTATATACATTTTCAATGTGGTAGAGCCATGCTACAGCTATATTGTGGCTGTAGCACAAATGGGTTGGAACGACCAGGGTAAGACTATGCTCTCACAGTGTACCAGCATAAAATAGCAGCTTACTGCTTCTGTTTCATCTGGCAAGTGTAAAGAACCGGAGACCCTTTTTACTGGAATAGGGCATTCCATCTTAGTCCTCAGGGATAACAACATGTCTGCAATTTATCTCTTAACCGAGGATAGATGCAGATATCTATGGGCCACAGAATCTACATAGCTACCATCACAAAAACAAAATAATCCAAAATCTACTAAGACTCTCACAGTTTTAACAGAAATATGTAATAAAAACATTTACTTGCATTAGGTTCCTTATTAGAACATTAGATTATCAAACAAAACAGATGACTTGATGGCGCACATTTAAAATCCAATGGCAAAAACTGTGGCTGACATAACTACTTCACACAATTTCCATACTGAACATATGCACTATTGACAATTGCCACTTGAACAAAAATATGTTTTTTTTGTTTAAATTTAGCAGTATATTTAAAAATATCCATTAATGTGGATAAAATTAATTTTATATAAAAATATACTTTCTTGTTGTAATAAATAGTTATTGGCTTACCTAGTTATATTATAAGACTGTAACAAAAGGTTTTTGTTTTGTAAGTCTAGTAACTTAAATATAAAATTTCAAGCAATTTTATACTTAATAGGCAATTACACATGTATCCATTACTTTAAAAAATCAATTTATTAAACTGTTCTTGCATCAATAACTTTACTAAAAAAGTCAATTTACAGCTACAGCTATAAATATATAAGTGTTAAAGTAACATGACACAAAATCATGTATTTTTGGTGTAATAAAATGTAAAAACATTTTTAGATGTTGCCTTGTATTCTTGTAAAATGTAAAGATGTGACAGCTGACAATGTATCTCAAAAGCTTTGAAAGCACACAAAAAGCTCTGATGATCTATGAAGTGGAACATAGAAATTAAGAAGTGAAAGGTATGTAAACAGTTCATTTATTTTGTTGGCGTTACCTTAATAATCACAAAATAACCATATATTTTATTTTCATATATCGATCGAGAATTTGTTGACTGCGCTTTATGTATCAATATAATTTTAGGTGTAGAAACTTACTTTCAAGACCTCCACAGTGTAATCAAACACAAAAAAAAACTCTCACTTATGGTTTATATAAATTTATCACAAAACAAAAACACAAACACATAACAACACATTATTTATGTACAATTTCGTATTTTTAAAAGTTTTTCAAGTCGCGACGAAAACGAAATTCAGATGTGGTGGCGCCACAGTCAACAAGAAAATTGTTATAATTGACATTTGTTAGAAAATATTACCAGCAAAGAGAATATAATCACTACGTTTAATTACCAGTTACAATTCTAAAATTCCAATACACTATAAATCAAACGATCATTCAATCATTGATTTTCTGAAGTATTTATGACTTGACGTACATATAATTTAATGAATAGATTAACCATCCATTCATTTAATTGTATGCTGCACATCTATCGGACGCTTTGGGATCTTTTCAACATATCCATAGTCGTCTTTTGACACCCTCAGCAAAGATAATACTACGTTTATTAGAGCCGTCTAGTGCTAGCAAAAATCCATCACCCCATTTCGTCCGGGAGGATCGTAATAGGCAACACACACGCTTAAATATACAACTGAAGGAGTTTTGGCGGGAAATTGACCGGCGGCGGTTTGCTGCTCCTGTATTATTGTTTAAATAATGGTTTGAAGTGGACTTTGATATGTAAAAGTGTTGCGATTTTGTGTATTAAGTGTCTAAGCATGTGAACTATTAGTGGAAACAGTGAAACAAGTGCTCTGATGGTGATGGATTCTCAAGATAAGCTGTTTGTTTGCATAGGCACCTTTAGATACCATCGCCAACTATCAGCTGTCTGCTGGATCAAGTTGCCGCCAAAATCTCCCAAGAACTGCACAATGTGACGCATCAACATATTGTGAAGCAGTATACTATGAAGGAGTGGGGAAATTACCATAGATATAGTATACATTAGATTGGCAATGGCGTGATTAGGGTGAGACCAAAAACGAAATGTACCCGTGCGAGTGAAATGTGCATGTGTGCGACAACAGTAGTGCTGCGCCATGTATCAACTTTAATTATCGATACAGAACGCTGTGTCTGTGTCATAAAATGAATATTATTGTTTGAGGGCATAAAAATAAAACTACAAACAAAAAGTTTGTGATTTTTATTTTCCACCAAAAATAACTAATTTATTGTAAAAATGTCGTAAGCTCTCCTTAGAGGTATTTTGCAATTTTGCTTCATACTTTAATCTGATAACCAAATAAGTTTCAATTATTAATTTAATAATTAAGTGTTTATGGTTTGATAATGCTGGCGAATCGTACATATGTATGTCAAGTGTGTTAAAAAAATGTTTGCAGGACACAAGGCATTCGTTTACTATTTTTTGAAATATGTTTTCGTTTACAATTTTTCCTTTTACGTGTTTTCGGAAAACTCGTTCAGAAAAGACACCTATCTCATAAACGTCTTGAAAGGGATTCACGAGGCCACCTACGTCTTTCATGTTTATTAGTGAACCTTCCTTAACTTCACCGTAAAGTACATTTACACAGGATTCGCATTTAATTTTATTTGCGATTTTTTTCACCACGTAACCACATATGTACTGAACAATGGACTTAACTACACTACAGATTCCATGCCTTCAGATATCCATGGCATAGATGATACGAAATCAGAATCTTCATTATCTATTTGGCCTGGGCCAATAGCCGCATCGTCGTTTGGCGTCGTTATTGCACTAAGGCCAGTTGTAGTATTTATTATATCTATAGCACACGATCTTTGTATGTTGAGCAAACTAATATTCTCCAAAGGCAAACAATTGGCTTTATCGCTGGACTTCCAAGTGGCAGATTAATCGTTTGTATGCTGCTGTGAATTGTCTGGCTGTAGGATTGTTGTTAAATCCTCCTCTAGAACGTACTGCACTAAAAAATGTTTCTATATGATCTTGAGAGTTTATAGGTCGGAAGAAACTTTAATTTTCCTGACTCTATGAAATCGACATATAGCCACTTCAAAGCTATTGTATTCGTCAAAAAACCGATAAAAACAATTTTTTTTCGACTCTCTATCAAAGCTTGGTTGTTGTATTTTAAATTTTTAATAAATTCACACACTTTGTCACATTCAGCTGTAACATTTTCAACATTATTTGCATTTAAGACCTTAAATCCGTAACTGAGTAAATTTCTGAAGTGGAAAATGTCAAATATGCTGTTTATATGTTTTATAAAACCTGCTGTCGCTTGGCAATTTTCAAACACAGGTAATTTTAATACTTCTTTGCAAAACTCGAAGCTGGTTGCAACAGAATTACTCAACAGTTGCGCCGCTAATCGTACGTTCATTTTGTGATTTACAAAATTGTCATGTTTTTTTGGTTACCTTATTTGCCAAATGCAAACCGACATAATGTTGAAGCTGGCAGAGATTTTCAATAAATTCACATTTAATAACATCATTATGATGGTAAAAATTTTTGTATTCTGCAAAAGTATTTCTTATCAACTTTAATAAATGACACGCATCTAATATTACGTAATATTTTTGCCCTCTATAGTAAAAGTATGGTCTAAATGGAGCGGTGCTCAAATTAGCTCCTAGTATTTGTGCCATATTTATATTAGATGCTATGCCATCAAAATTAACAGAAGCAACTTGTACAAAATCTGATAATGAAGCAATACACTGCTTTAGAAGTGTTGCTTTCTGTAAAGCAGTAAATCCTCTTCCAAAAAAATAAGCAATTGGAATTTTCCAAAAAGAATTGATTGCCACTGCCATGATTATCAATACCTCTTTAGCCTTGTCTACTTGATCTCCATGGATACCATTACCCACATCTACATAGCCATGATGATTACGACCGTCAAATTCAATGTGTTCACGGATAGACATTTCGTCGAACGTAAGGGCGATGACCAAATCTTTTTTTTCTTTGCTCATAGCCTTTATGGTGTCTATGGCTTCCATAGTGATGCCTGGCTTACAGCCTACATTTTGGTACCAGCCTCGTAATGTTCGAGGATGTGGTAGGCACAGGTCAAATTTAGTTCTCATGTAATTGTAAGCCCGAGGACTATAAAAGTGTAAAGTTAGGGCAAATGTCTTTAGTTGCGTATCATACTCTTGTGTAATATTTTGATTTTGTTTTTTCTTAATCACCATTTCGATGAGATGCTGCATAAAATCATTTGGACCAGATACCATTACAGCACTAATGTTATTTTGAAGTGAGGGAAGCCTTTCTAAGTTTTTTTTTATCACTTGAGACAACTTTTCCCCTTTTTCATTAGCCCGTTTTTTTGTGCTCTTACATTTTTCAGTTTTTTTTTTTCATATCTAATCTCCGAAGAATATCAATAGTCTTTTTCATTTTTTTCTTTCTCGGCGAATTGTCTATAGCAGAAATATTTGCAGTTGAGCTACTGGGTACTGGTAATATATCTCTGTAGACATATGAGGATGCTTTGCGTACCGGCTTCAATACAACCTACAAACAAATATAATTAGTGCATACATTATGTACTTATCTATGATTAAAATAAATAAAATAAAGTTCCACCCTTTTACCAATTTCTGCCGCTAAACAGCAGAGCTTATACTACCGCTAAACAGCAATGCACTGCCGCGTTTCGGCCTGTTGAGTATAGAGAGCCTGTATAGTTATAGGCTACAAGACATTTTATGTTAGTCCTCAGGGGTGAAAACACATTTGTAGCTTTCTTTATTTGAAGATGACTGTAGGTGACCATGTACTGCAGTAGCCATTTACCATCAAGTGATACTGTAAGTTTCTTTATAAAAAAATATACATCACGAGAATGACAACAACAAGTTGTACACATTTAAACATGCGCAAATGAAATTAAGATATGTACAGTAAAATATATAAGTAATTAAAAAACTACGCACGGGCATAAATAATGTGGGTATTGATCCAGAACGCAGCTTTACTCTTTGTGCACTTCTTTGAGAAAAACATTTTTGTTCAAAGTGCTTGCTACATATAGTTGAATTTTTTTGGGAACCCATTCTTCTCTATTTATCATTTTTAACCATTTTTGTTTAACCTCATTATTTTTTGGAAATCTGTAACAGTACACAATAAGAGTTTAAATCATCTCATTAAAGTATTTACTATAATGTGTAAATATTACGACATTTACTATACATAAATATACTAGTGTACTTTTACGAAAAACTAAAAATTAAAAATAGAAAATTAAAAAAAATTACGAAGTCACAAGAGGCTGTATCCAAGGATATGCCTTTGCCTGTTATAAACATATTATCGATAAGATGATATTGATAGTGTCAATCCCTACAAAAATTTGATCAGAAATAGCGGGAATTCACGTATTTGTTATTATTTTTAATATAATTCTCATGCATTTAGATTATTATCGTAATAAAATGCGATATTTTTCCCTGTCCATATGTGTATAAAACATTTGTACTAGTTGTGAAATGTGAAGTTAGAGTGCTAAACATTTTAATTGTACTTACATGTGAAATGTATAATTTTGTGGATTTTCGTTTCTGGATGAACTGTATTCAGGTACGGCACACGTCACTATACTTAATCACACCTTTTAAATACTTATTAATACTTTAAAATAAAAAATATCGCGAAAATAAGCCGAATTTGTTTCGTTAACCATTGACGTCAGGCTGATACAGGCTGATAGCGTGTACGTGTATGGTCTAGCCATTCTATCTCGTTCTAACGTAAGCATATGCTATGCCCTTTCTCTTTTACATTGCCAATCTAAGTATATACTAAATCTATGGAAATTACAATAAACCGAATAAAAATACTTAAGACTTGGCCTAAAGGTCTAGATACCAGGCCATAAACTCCAAAAAAAAAAATATACAACTGAAGATACAAAAAGTATTATGCCACCCACTCTATGAACAAAACAGAGTGATCTTACAATAGATTCCATAACTCTTTGCTCTCACACAGCAAAGTATTTTTATAAATTCATTAGATACAACCCTTTACGACTCTATTGCGAATATAAGTCTCCTCCGTTTAATGCCAGAAAGCTCGATCCTTATCACCTTACCTACATCGACGTGCACGTTATGGGTTTGCAACATATTATTAACAAGCAGAAGAGACAGCGTGGATGATAGCATGTAGCCATGTGGAACACCAGTATAAATAGGCTTGTAAATGGAGCAGGAGCATGCACCTTCTACTACGACTTTGTTGCTCCAATCTGCAAGAAAACTGCTGACCAGTTGTAAAAATTCTCGGGAAGCCCATAGGAAGGGAGCTTCGAAAGAAGGGCTTTGTGCGAAACCCGATCGAAGGCCTTCGCTATTTCCAAACTAACAGCCAGGGTCTCCCTCTCTGCCTTTGCCGATTTATGAGTCAGGTAACCCAAAAAATCACCATTTGAGCAATCCCAACGGAAATCGTACTGGCGGTCACTTTTCTGTTGGTGATCCTCAACCTTGATGAACTCGCAGTTCACAATGGTTTTCATTATTTTGGAAAACAAGTTGGATAGGTCTGCGTGGTCGATTTTCAGTTATTTAATAGAGATCTGGTGCACTAAAGCTGTGTTCTTTGAACGAGTCTTAGAAAAGACATGTTACGAGCAGTGCCAACTAGGAAGCGCACGTCTTCAGTAAAATGGGAGGAAATCATCAGGCCCACTTGACGTCTAAGGAGAGTAGTGCTATGCGCACCGAGCACTGTGTAAACCGTATCGTATCGACCTCAAAGCAAAATTATAATTCTTTTTGACAACGCTGGTGAAGTACTCCTATTATAACGCGATGCAATTTTACAGGAGCGACCAAACCAGGCACAACACATGATAGAATAAAGAATCCCATCCCCTGAAGTATCACATCAGCGACAGAAGTACGTTGGGATCATCCGGCGAGAAGCATACCCTCGCCCTGTCCTGAAGGGAAGGATACAAAAAAGACCGCATCCTGTCCCAATCGGCTGACCTATAGTGCCAAACATGGCGGCGATCTGCAGAACGCAACCACGATGAGAGTGTGAGTGGCACCATAGTCCGGATCAGACTATGGTCCAATGAATCAAGAGGGGCGTCGACGGAAACCTGATATACGTCCGGATGAGAGGGCAGCAGAAGGTTCTACAGGCTGCAAGATCCTCTACAGCTAGAATCTGCGTAGGTAAAGTAACCATTTGTGTAGGACCATATGTCAAGGCTAAGCATAAACAGATCTTCCCGCATGATTTGTTAAACGAGAACCAAGTCATTCGGCGGGGTGGCCATTAAAATCACCAAGGATCATGATCTCTGCAGACAGGACCTGTTGTAGCACGGAGTCTGCAGCGATTTGGACGTGGTCGATGAGTTGGTCTGTGTCGGCATTACCTGTAGAGGCATCCGCATGCGAGGATGGTTATCGCTGAACTTTCTAGACTGCCGAGGCATCGAGAACAGATGTCTTTTCTGACGTATACGCAAACTCCAGCCCGAGGCACAAAAGTATCGACCAGGGAGGACACCTGCGCCTATGTTAGAAAGAGCAAGGTCAGCTTCGCAGTCTTCAGATGGTACCTAGTGGACTTCGTTAACTTTCGAATGAAATCCCCTGATATGGCAGAAATTCACGGATAGCGTGACAGGGGTCACCTTTGTCTTATTGCTCTACTTGCCACGAGCAGTATTAGTCTTGAGTGGAATTTTGTGTCATGTCTTACAGCTCGTCATTCCATCTAGTTTGGCCCACCCGTGCCACAGCAAAAGCTGCCGTGTGGCTCTTCCACTGTTATGTTGTCTGCCTATATTATTAACTGTAGTAGCTTTGCTTTATTATGCCCTACAGTGGGGCGACAAGCGGGACAATGGGCTGATGATAAAGTAGTTTTGTGCCTTTAAAGTATTTAGTTTAGTTTAAATAGGGCCCCAATTTCATTTATGCCCCGGGGCCCTTGGTTACATAGTTATTAGCTACGCCACTGGTCGCTTACTTTGGTTCTACTTAGCGACCACGAGTTTCATGCGGCCAACAATGAAGAACCACGTTTTAGATCTATATTATGATATTACTAACAACACGCACTGGTTGCACAATGTGTTGTGTGTTGTCTTTTTTCAAGTTTTAAGGTATACGTGACGAGAAAATTTATTGTAATCTCCCGACCAATTCCCTAGTCGGACACTTAAGTCCGTTTTACGTGGGTAAAAGCAAGTTGTATACCCGTCTGGCGGAGAAAGTTGGCAAACGCTTTTGCCATGATTTTTCTGGCATTTTCATAGTGTTCTTCGCCTCCAACTCCACCTGCACAACACAATCGGGGCGACTTTCCGACAAGCCTACTTGGAGCGGTAACTTGGCGAATCCCACTTGGCTAGTCTCTCTTGGGTTCCTCTTGTTCACCGTGGATGACCATCGGACTATGAGAGTACGGGAAAAGAGAGTGCACCTGTATCTGCGTATGCACTTCTGTCCGGCGCAGATGGCTAATCGGCGCTGGTTTGCCCTGCTCGAGCTGGCGGCCAATCTCTGTTGAGATTGGTCGCCGTAATCTCAATACCGTCTGGAGAACAGTATATAGCTTTTCTTGGAGGACAAGAACAACGCACTTCTCCACGCCTCCGGAGTAGTGTCTGTGCCACCACGGAGTATCTTCTGAAGTACTTTATGTACCGGTTTCCCACATACTTTCAGAAGCTCCGCTGTAATTCTCTCCTCGCTCGGGGACTTGTTGTTTTAAAGGTGCTGGAGAGTCATTGTAATCTCGCTCAGACTTCCGAGATATCATTGTAATAGTGTTGAATGACTTTCTCTTGTCTTGTCTAAATGATAAATGTTCGCGTAAACATAAGTAATCATTTCTCTTGGATCCCTTACTCACACTTGCGTAAGGCTCCGAATATTTGGACGGCTGTCCGTAGAACCTATCAATATTACTGAGAATCAAACGTTTCCCTGAGATGACGTCACCATAAACGATCTTTAACTTGGACAGTTGGCTCTTTCCAGTAGACAGAATTCTGGCTAGAAAAGCTTTAGAGGCTTGGTTTTACTCAGTCACTTCTTCAATACGAGCTGTATTTAAAGTTGCATAAGTCTCCCCGCATGCATTTGGAGATGCCTTTTTAGTTGTATACTGTCATATTCATTGAAGACTGCAACTTCATTTATAACATGAGGTAAAGTTCTAAGCGAAATGATTACATTGTGTATCAAATCTATAATATTTTCAAACTAGCTATCATTAGATAGGTAGATTGGCCTTAAGGTCTACATGGTCAAACTCTATTTCAAGCAGTATCCACTTGGTTATTTTTTTATTTTATATGCGCAGTAAACTTTTTACTACAGTTCAATACGATTGACTTAAGGTTATAAATCTTAGGACGGATACATAAGCTCATAATATTATAAAAAATGTATAACCATACCCACAAAAAGGAAATACACTCAAACATAAAATACATTTATTTATTTATTTAAATTAATTTTCTATACAACATTTACTATAAATACAGGAACATTTCAATTACAATATAAAAATACAGCGATTTTGAATATTTAGGGGGTGTCTCAGTCCTTACATTTAATGTTATAATACTTATTTGACATGATTACTTAACGAGAAGATCCATTTCTTATATCTATACAATTTTTGCTCATATATTTCAAAACCCAATTTTATGTTGTCAGAGTCAAACCGAGAAAATATGTCAATTTTGTCCCCAAATACTTTAAATCAAAACATAACATTATTGGTCGCAATCTGTCATATATATAAAACTGTTTCATAAATTATTACAGTCTTGCCTCATTTATTTTCTTCTTTGTACATCATGCAAAATCTACTCCGGTATCAAGTAAATCTCTGATAAGTACTGTCGCCTTTCTGGGCAATATTCTAAGAGTGTGCCCAAGGTAAAGTAAATGTTTAGGTACAGATGCCTCTGGATAGTTGCGTCGTACACTGTCCAAAATTGACTTGGCCGCATTTGCAGGTGTTATCGTACCAAAATAACTCGATATTCTGCAAACATAAGAAAACTTTTGTAGATATATTTTAAGCATCTTCTTGTAATTTAAACTTAAAACCAAGAACAAAGGAAACAGGGGAAAAAAAGATAAGTACAGTACTGATGTCTCCAATATTTATAGTTAGGTTTATCCATTTCAATATAATTAATATATAAAACATAACTAATATTTCAAAAAGAAACATTAACTTTTATATTTTTCTAACAATTTAGATTCACATCCATGAAATCTGTCAAATTTTTCACCTCAGGAAAAGAAAAAGTCAAGTTTGGCAGAAAAAGATGTGGATGCCCTCATTGAAAGCAAAGAACAATGGCAGACTTTCATACATGAAATTAGTTGAGAAGAAATGGTAGCGTCTATATACCAAAAATATCTTAAAATGTTAAGCGTCAGTCCCTTAATAACTCTGCCAAAGAATTTTGTACTGAGAAGGCGTCAATAAAAAGATATTTACATTTCTTCTTCTTCTTTCTTTTTTTATGGCGGTTTTTAATTATTCGCCAATGTCAGCGTCGAAGTGTTTATTGAGTACAAGCTCAGTAGTTACAAATACTATGCCCATGTACTAAAGAAGATTGTGATAATACAAGTATCTTATTTTCTTTAAACAATTAAATTTTCCCTTTTTATCTTGTAATACTAGTGGTTGTACTGTTGAATTACCTAGAACAAATGACAAACACAGTTGCTATAACTACATTAGTATATTAGTATTGACAAACATTAAACTTTTATACTATTAGTGTTAATAAAATCACACAGAATATATACATAAGGAGTATTTGTGTAGGTTAAAAGTGAATCAAAATTTATAGGACGGGGGATGTCAGGAGGGAGATGATCATAGAGTGAACAAGATAATTTAGGACAGTTAAAAAAAATATGGTCTGAGGTTCCCTCATCTAACCCACATTCGCAGAGGGAACTATCCCTAATCCTCAGTTTGGCTAAATGTACTGGTGTACAAGCATGGCCAATTCTAAGTCTACAAATAGTTGATGTTGACTGTTTGTTAGCTTTATTAAATTTGAAAAACCATGGTTTTGGAGGGATGGCACATTGTATAGCAGCATAGTGTTTACCTTTTATATTTTGAGTGGCTTTCCATAATGTGTTCCAATTATTACTTAACTTCTTCTTTGCAAGTAATACTATGTCTGAAGAGTAAATTAAATTACATGGCAAACCATTTCGACTTGCATTTTTAGCCATCAGATCAGCTGTTTCATTGCCCTTAATGCCACTATGACCTGGAATCCAAGCTAAGGAAACCTGAATGCCCTTGAGATGACATCTATACAATGTGTGTTTAATTTTGAGGATCAAGGGTAACTTATATTTACTTTGGAACTGGTTTGACAAAATTGCTAACAAACAGCTTTTGGAGTCGGTAAGAATAACTGACTTATTTAAGTTGTGTGCTTCTATATAAATCAAAGCTTCATAAATTGCCGTGGCCTCGCCAGTAAAAGTGGAAGAAATAGAAGGGCATTTAAAATTGAGGATTATTTTGTATCTGGGAATCCAAACTGCTGCTCCAGTGCAACTTTCACCTGACTTTTTGGAGGCATCAGTGTATATAATAAGCCAGCCTTTCCATAAATTATCTATGACTCTACTTAGTTTACTATTTGCTATAGGGCAATCTTTCTCAATACCAAGGTCGAGGTGGATATTTGGTTGGAAAATAATTGCATCATATGGGATATCAAAGATGGGACAGGACTTGCATTGTGATACTGGGTGTGGTAGATGGAGTAATGTTACCAAACTGTTGGATAAGCAGGGAGATTCTTTATGAGTCCAGTAATGCTTTGTTGAAATATATTCCAAAAGAAGGTGTAATTTAGAAATGAGAGGATGTGAAGAGAGTTGATAGATTTTAAAAAAGAATCGGTCCGAAAGATATTGTCTTCTTAGGTAAAGAGGGGGATCTACACATTTGACTTGGAGAGCATTTATTGGGGAAGATTTCATTGCCCCAATGATTATACGAAGGCTTTTCGTCTGAATCCTGTCTAGGATCTTTAGGGAAGACTTATTACATGGTTCCAAGACAAAGCATGCATAATCCAAATGACTACGAATAAGGGCGTTGTACAATATTTTTTGAGAGAATGGATTGGAGCCCCACCAAACTCCCGATAACGCGCGAAGAATATTTATATTTTTTTCACATTTTTTTGAGATATAGTTGATATGATGAGAAAAGGTTAGTTTGGAGTCAAGAATAACTCCCAAAAATTTTACATTCTCCCTAATAGGGATAGGTTCATTATTAAAGAGAATGTCGATTTCAGGGAGTTGCCTATGGCGCGAGAAGATGACAACACTGCTTTTGGGAACAGACAAGGACAAACCATGATCAGTTAACCAATCTTGTAAATAGGACATTGATAGATTCAAGCGGGAACAAGCTGTAGCAAGGTTATCCAAGGAAATATAGATAGCTATATCGTCTGCATATTGGAGGATGTTACAGAATGAGTTAACAGAAAGTTCTAGATCATAAGTATAGATAGAATAGAGCAAAGGACTAAGTACTGAGCCTTGTGGGAGACCCTTCCATACAATTCTTGGCGGGAGTAGAGAATTTTGACTATCAATATAAATGGATCTAGAAGAGAGAAAGTTAGAGACAAAATTTACTATCCTCACTGGAATACTCAGATTAAGCATTTTTTGCCTGAGCACAGGAAGAAGTACATTATCATATGCAGACGAGATATCTAGAAAGACACCAACAAGGTATTCATGTTTAGAGTAAGCTATACGAATATCAGTAACTAGAATACTAAGGCTATCCATGGTGCTTAAGCCCTTTCGGAATCCAAATGGCTTTTTGCTAGAAGGTTTTTGCTTTCAAGAAACCATTCTAGACGATTTTTTATTAGGTGTTCAAGAATTTTGGCCATTGTACAAGAAAGAGCAATAGGGCGGTAGCTTGAGGGATCAGTGTGAGGCTTACCTGGTTTGTAAATAGGTAAAATAACTTGGGATTTCCATTCTTCAGGAGGAATACCGGACATGTAAATACAATTTAAAATAAAAAGAAGATGGGCTTTAGTAGATTCACTGCTATTAGTAATAAAAGAATAAGGAATTCCATCAATTCCTGGTGAAGAGTCTTTAAGGGCACTAAGAACAGCATATAACTCCTCATAAGAGAAAGGGGAGTCAAAACTGTGTTGATAGTGCAAGGACTGTGATTGAAATACTATACTTTCATTGTAAGATGGTACTGAGGGAGGAGCAAACTTACTAGCAAAATTTTCAAGCCAATAAGACTGATCATTAGAAATTGTGTTTTCAGAGGCCAAAACTGAACATAGGAATTTTTTAATATTTTTCCAGACTAATGATGGATGAGTCCTAGGCGACAGTGACTCACAGAATTTAACCCATCCAGCCTTTTTCTTCCCAGATAATAATTTTAATGTTTCAGCAGCAGTTTTTTTTATAAAAAATATAGTTGTCAAGATTCATAGAGAGGGAATATCTTACTTCAGCTTCCTTTCTCTTCTTACATGCTACAGAACAATCTTGATCCCACCAAGGTGGTGAAGGAGCATTATTTTTATAAGGTTTTTTGATGGGGATTGTCTTATTGGCAGCAGATAAAATAGCATTTTTAAAAGTAGAATACACCTGAAGAACATTATCTTTCTGAACAGGAGGAAGGGCTGATAGTTCTTCCTCTAGAACTGTGGAATATAGTTGCCAGTTTGCTTTGGATGTGTTATATTTTAACCTAGGATTAAATGGAACATTGACTGTATAGGAGCTAGGGGGATTAATAACAATAGGGAAATGATCACTGCCATGGGAAAAGGGTAATATTCTCCAAGAAAGAAGGGACGACAGGGCAGGGGAACAGAGTGACAGATCTACTGCACTTTTAGGATTTTGGAGGGGGGATACTCTACGTGTAAGTGAACCATCGTTAAGGAGGCAGAGATCTAAATCATCAATGATGTCTAAAAATGTAAAAGACCAGGGATCACAAAAATGGGAGCCCCATAAAGTATGGTGCATATTAAAATCACCAAGAATTACCATAGGAGGAGGGATGGAGGATACAATCCTCGTAAGTTCTGACAAGATATTTAAACTAGGTTCGGGAATGTAAATAGAGAGAAAAGAAGTGTTATGAGCTCTAACTGCTACAGCATTAATTGAAGGACTATGAGAAGGAAGGGAAATTAATGTATAAGTAATTGATTTTGAGATAAGAATGAAAGAGCCAGCATGACCATCATGCCTATCATCCCTGAGGCATGAATAACCTGAGATCCTAAAATGGGACCCAGGCTTAAGCCATGTCTCTTGGATGGCTAGGATGAGGGGATGGTATTTATTAATAAGGTAAATTAATTCATTTTTCTTATTATTAATGCTCCGGCAGTTCCATTGAAGTATTGGAGGGAAGGTTATTTGTTAATGAAATGAGCTCAGTAAGTTTTTGGCGGAGGGCAAGTGGGAGATCCATATCGCTGAAACGGGAAAGCATACTTATAAGCATGGAAATCATTAACTCACAGAGATTGTCATTAGGGGAAATACTCCGCCCTATTAAAGCACAACCATTAGTAGTTGAAGAAGAAGGGGTCTCTATTATTGCCTCATGGGAAGATTTATCATATCCATGACTTGATGCTGGATTTGGCGGAAGTCTTGGAATAAATGTAGTTTTCCTGTAAGAATGAGATTGTGAGGGGACAACTGAAGGTAAAGTGGAATTTGAAATAGGATAGAGACTCTGATGATCATACGAAGGAAGGATTCTAGCAGCATCTGCATAAGATCTTCGGACTTGAGGGAAACGGGCAGATGCTTCTAGATAGGAAATATTTTCCTGTGACATGGTAAGTTTAATAGATCTCTGCCTAGAGTGTTCAGGGCGGGAAGGATCTTTAGCCGTGTGAGATCCTGAACAAAATAGGCAAGTGGGAGACTGTCTTGTGCATGATATTCCTTCATGATTTTGAGCACACACAAAACAACGGGAAGATGACCTACACTGTGAGGTTACGTGTCCAAAACGACAACATTTGTGACATTGAATAAGAGGTAAAATGTAGGGCTCAACAGGCATTGAGGTGAAAAAACAATAAATGTTAGAAGGAAGTTTCTGGCCGGAAAAAGTTAAAACAACCGTTTGAGAGGGAATCCACACAGTACTTTGGTTTTCATTAACTGACTTTCTATTAAATCGGCGAGCTTTAATAATTGAGCCAAAACCAGCTGGGACCTCGATTGATGATATGAGTTCTTCTAATGTCCACTCTACAGGGACCTGCCTCACTATTTCCATGCGTGTGACATTATAGGAAGGGATTACAGTATCATATTTAGCACCTGCAAGGGCTGGGTTCTCAATAAAACAATTTGCATCAGCTGCACTTTTAAACTCGACAGAAATTCTATTGCGTCCTATTCGCTTAACACCATCACTAACAACATTTTTAATATTATTATGGTAGAGAAAATGACCAAACTTTATCGGTTTTAAAACTACTCCAGTTGATAAATCATCTACTCTCTTACTTACATGAACAATAAACGGCGCATTGTCGTTATTAGAATATTTATGTTTTTTTTTCTATGTAGTCAGGATGGGTATAAGAGGTCTGAATAGATGGTACAGGTTGAGATGGATCTGTAATTAATCTTTTCTGAGGATGAGCTGAGTTATTGGTTACTTGCAATCTTTTACGCTTCGACTGATCAATTTCGATAGGCATATTATTATGTTTTTTGGTAACAGTATGGGAGTCACATGGAACCCCGTCGGGATCGGGAGTATCTTCCTCCATTTTATTTTAACTAATTACATATAACACAGCACAATTACTAAATACTTACGGATTTATAACTACTAAAACCAACACCAATAGAAATAATAAACAAAAAAGTAAATCAACAGCTCTCAGAATAAGAAATAGCCAAAAACACAATGACACTTGTACACCTCACACCACTTCCCAATTCAATTCTTATTATTATTCAATTTACATTTAAACCTTTTTAGGTTATGTCCTATGTCACTTGGAAAAAGTCATGCTTCCTGTGGTTGTTTGATGTTAGCTTAATACATAATACATAATTGAGACTTTTTAGATTATTGTATCTCTATTATATATTTGCATACTATAAATGTATATTTCTGGCATGTCTCCAGGGCTTTTGTATCATAGTGACATTCTCAGAAAGGCTAGAACCCAGAGCCGTAAAGCCAGTAAAAAAAACAGTGACATTTTATTTTAGCTAATGTTGGCATAACATTAAATGGAATTGTTACATAGTACTATGATTGAGATACTGTATTATTGTAGGAAATTCTTTGTAAGAGACTTATTCTCAGCCATATCACTTTTATTTTTATTATTACTGATAGTACAGTTACTACTAATAATAACTTAATATAAAAATATTTTGTGTGTTGTGTTGGTACTTGGTAGTCCCACAAAATGTATACGAAAATAGTATGAATATACTAAATGGCAACATTTGAATAGAGTAAAATGATTTAAGTCATTTGATATTCCCAAAAATGTTTGTTTTTTCTGTGGCTTTAATTAAAATACATTTTTATTTGAGTTTTGGCGGGAAATTGACCGGCGGCGGTTTGCTGCTCCTGTATTATTGTTTAAATAATGGTTTGAAGTGGACTTTGATATGTAAAAGTGTTGCGATTTTGTGTATTAAGTGTCTACGCATGTGAACTATTAGTGGAAACAGTGAAACAAGTGCTCTGATGGTGATGGATTCTCAAGATAAGCTGTTTGTTTGCATAGGCACCTTTAGATGCCATCGCCAACTATCAGCTGTCTGCTGGATCAAGTTGCCGCCAAAATCTCCCAAGAACTGCACAATGTGACGCATCAACATATTGTGAAGCAGTATACTATGAAGGAGTGGGGAAATTACAATAAACCGAATAAAAATACTTAAGACTTGGCCTAAAGGTCTAGATACCAGGCCATAAACTCCAAAAAAAAAAAATACATTTTTATTTGAAATATCATAGAATAATAATAAAACTCATTTTATATATAACTTATTTCTAGACGCTATAATTTTTGTCAACTATTTTTCTGCCATTGCTCTTTCATGCAAACAACTTTCTGTATGTATTCCCAGTAAATTAATTGTATTTTTAATTGCACATATACTACATATTTTGGGGAAAAGATAATCAATGTGAGAGAACTTGCAATTATGAGAGAAATATACTTCGTTGGATCATAAGCTCTGTCAAAACCTTATTATTTAAAATTTTTGAATACTGGCTAGATGAACTTAACCAATTTTAAAAATATAACGCTTGCGCTTGCAGAAAATAAAAAAGACATTAATTTTCAAATATGGAGTGGTCGAAGAAAGAAGATAGAGTAGCGGTTATCGCATACAGTTAGGACACCCGCGATTATCAAAGCAGTGAAGGCGCGAATCCAACGAAATCCTGTTCGTAAAAAAAAAATCTTAGCTCTTCAGATGGGCCAAAGCAGAACCACTGTCAAAAGAATGATCAATGAACACCTAGCACTTCGAGCTTATTGTAAAAAGACCGGACATTTTTTGAAAAAAATTAGGCTGGATAGATTCCGCACTATGTTACGGCGGTACGCGGGAAAAAAATTCCCCAAAATTTTGTTTTCATCTTTTCATCTTCATTGATTTTTAACATCGAAGAAAGTTATAATAAACAAAATGATAAAGTGTATGCCCGCCCACAGCAGTGAAGAAGCCGGCGCGTGTATTCCGAGGGTTCAACGAGGACATTATCCTTCGTCACTCATGTTTTGGCTTGGAGTCTCATATTCAGGCTTAACTGAGGTATTTTTCTGTGAAAAAGGTGCAATAATTAGTGCCGAGGTGTACCGTCCTAACAAACATAGTGGAACCTTTTTTTTCAAACAATGTTCAAAAAACAGACATTGGATATTCCAACAGGACTCTGCAACAGCTCATAGGGCATGAGGCATGCAAAACTGGTTGACCACCCGTGGAATTGACTTTATCGGACATGAAGGCTGGCCCTCTTTTAGTCCAGATTTAAACTCACTGGATTACAAGATATGGCAACATTTGGAGGAGAAAGTCTGCGCTAAACCTCATCGGAATTTGGAATCTCTCTGAGCACCTTTGGCTAAATCAGCGGCAGAAATAGATATGAATAAGGTGCATGCTGCGATTGATGATTGGCCGCGTCGAAATTTGCATAATGTAAATAAAATTGTATTCTAAATTAAATTACCTTTCATTTTATATATAATTTCTATATAATTATCGAAAAGTGTATTATTAATTTTATAAAAAGTTTTTGACAGAACTTATGACCTGACTAAGTATTTCGAACAGATACAAAAATCACCCATGCACATTGAAGCAGTGAGGTAATTTCTAATTTGCTTTATTATCCCTTCATAATAATTGAATAATTCTGTCCTGAAATTATAGGCTTTTTTATTTTACTTTTTTTTTATTTAATAATGCAATACTAACTAGGTGGGGAAATCATTTTATAACTCCTTTTTCTGAGTAATTACCAAACAGCCTTTTACCAATTTTAGCAGTAGTACATCAACTGTTTTGTTTCACTTTTAATTTTAGTTAAGCATCTAATATTAAACAAAGCTTATGTGCAGTAATGATATATAAACGAAAATATACAACTACTATATCAAATATAGTAGTTGTATATTTTCTTCTTCATTATTAGAGTAAATTCGCTTTAATCTTCTACTACAGGATAATTTGCATATTGCAATCTTATCTATAATTGCAATACTAGACGTCTCGCAACTTTCACGTCACTACTCACCGCTGGTTTCGTTAATTTATGCTACAGTTACCTCCTTAAGACAACCATGGTGATGGATTTTTTTTTTATAAAATAAGGTTGACAAACAAGCACAGTCCACCAGATGGTAAGTAAATGTTGTGGCTCATAGTCATCTACAGCTGTCTTCAATTAAGATTCAAAATACAAATGCATTGTTACCCCTGAGGACTACGATGGAATACCTTTTTTACAGTAAAAAGGGATCTCCAGTTCTCTACACTCACCATACGAAGCACAGCAGCATTAAGCTCCTATTTTATTGTGGTATTCTGTGATAATCTAGTCCTTCCCTGGTCAAGCCGACCCAATGGTGCTACAACCATAATATAGCTGCAGCAGGGTTCTACCACGAGAATTCTATTATGTCGCCATCATATTACAGGAGTCATAATAATAGTAGATTACTTACCTTAATCGTAAATTTGAACTATCGTCCACAATAAAAGGATATATATGAGTCAGAGTGACATATACACCATCGGTCTTATTGATTCTTAAATCTTCCATCAAAGACTCAGCAAGACCCTGAACAGCGAACTGCGCTACACTCAAAGGCATTTGATCCTTTATGTAGCTCAACCCAGCTACAGATGTTAGGGCTACTATGTGGCCATGATTCCTTGCTTTCATTTCAGGCATGAAGTGCTCAATCAGCTATAAAAAAAAATTAAATCATTGAAAGGAAAGTGGTTTTCATTTGACTAATACAGTTTGCTAAAGAGGCTATTAATAGTATTTTTAAAGTAGAACAAATTTGTTTGAGTCACAGTTTTTGTATTGCTTATTTTCATATTACGTTATTCTTCTGCTTACTTCTTGGGTCATTTAAGCATTGATAGTTAGGCCAAGTGCCTTAAACTGAACAGCATAGTACGTAGACTGGGCAGTAAGTTGGTAAGCACAGCCTCAATATCTATGACTCTTCCCAACTGTAGTGTAATGCTGCGTACAGACTTACGTACGTTACGACGTAACATGTAATGTGACATGAAAGGAGCATTTCATCAGTGTGGACGCAGCACGCACACGAACCGAACATGTACCTACTTGCATCTGTTCCCGGCGTGCGCGCGAACATACCGTCAATCTGCTGAGAACACGTGAAGAGAATGGAGTGTTTTTTTTATGGGATAAGGGTGATAAACGAGCACACAGTCCACCTGAAGGTAAGTGGTTGCTGTGGCCCATAGACATCTACATCTATCTTCGAGGAATCAAAATGCGGATGCGTTCTCACCCGTGAGAACCAAGATGGAATGCCTCGTTTCCAGTAAAAAGGGTCTGTGAATGAATGGAGTGTGACAACACACAGTTGGTGACTCTGAGGTAAAAAATGGCCAAAGATCTCGATGTTGGCGGCGTAGTGTTGTATAGACAGAGGGTTAATGCAGAATTAATGACTAACATGAGATTTCAGCACATGTTTAGTTCGTGTTCGCCTGCATCTCAACATAACCCATCCACACTGACGCTCCAAGCACATTGCGCGCCCGAAAAACTGATAAATCATGGATCGCTCGGCGTGCGACTTGTAATGCTCGTAGCGAAAGTATGAAATGCACAGTTCAAGCGCGCAAGGCATCCAGATTATGAAAATTTGTTACAAAGTGTGTCACATTACATGATATATGCTGCATAAGGAGGGGTATGCAAGTGAATTTAGAGAGCTAGTTGTAAACAAGATGATAGAGATGGGTGATATGGAAGGGATGAGTGTGAATGAGTGCTGGAAGGAAATGGCTGATTGTATTCGAAGTGTGGCAAGGAAGGTGTTAGGAGAAACAAAAGGGAAGCGTATGGTAGATAAGGATGGGTGGTGGTGGAGTGAAAGTATTAGAGAAGTTTTGAGAGAAAAGAAAAATGCCTTTAAAGAATGGCAGAGCGTAGAAGACCAGAATGAATCCATAAAAGAAGGTAAGAGAGGGGAGTATAAAGAATGTAAGAAGAGAGCGAAGAAGGAAGTTGCTATTTGTAGGGCAGAGGCGCACGATAAATTATATCGGTCCCTTGAAAGCCCCGAAGGTCAAAAACGACTTTTTCAAATTGCAAGAGCGAGAGAAAGGAATGGAAGAGATGTTTCACATGTAAAATGTATAGAAGATTAATCTGGAAGGATTTTGACTGACGATGAAAGTATAAAGAAGCGATGGAAGGAGTATTTTGAGAAATTGATGAATGAGGAGAATGAATGGAATGGTATGCTTGAAAACCCACCAGTGAATATGGGCTTAGTGAGAGAAATTAGTGTGGAAGAAGTAAAAATGGCTGTTAGGAATATGAAGAATGGGAAGGCGGTCGGCCCAGATGGAATACCAGTAGAAGTGTGGAAGTTGCTGAGGGCGGATGGATGGAAGTGGTTGAGTTTATTTTTCGGTAAATTGTTGCAGGAAGAACAAATACCTGAGGAATGGTGCAGTAGTATACTGGTTCCCATTTTTAAAAACAAAGGAGACGTTCAAAACTGCAGCAGTTACCGGGGAATAAAGCTCATGTCACATACGATGAAAGTCTGGGAAAGAATAATAGAGAGAAGAATGAGAGAAGAGTGTGAGATAACACAAAACCAGTTCGGATTCATGCCCGGTCGAGGTACGACAGATGCCATTTTCGCATTACGCCAATTGTGCGAAAAGTACAAGCGCGTGCATAAAGATCTGCACATGGTTTTTGTCGACCTTGAAAAGGCGTACGATCGGGTTCCCCGTGAGGTCTTGTGGTGGGCGTTGAAGATGAAAGGTATGCCTGGGAAGTATGTGAGGTTGGTCCGTGCTATGTACAGAGCATCCCGTACATGTGTACGATCTGCCGCGGGAACTACGGGCAGTATCGATGTGGCGGTAGGGCTGCACCAAGGGTTGGCACTGAGCCCTTACCTCTTCCTACTGATTATGGACGCTTTGACGTCGGACCTGCAGGATGAGGCACCCTGGTGCATGCTCTTTGCCGATGACATCGTGCTTGTCGGGGAAGAAGGCATCGAGGTACAGAGCAGACTGACGGGGTGGCAACGGAGGCTGGAAAGTGTTGGCTTGAGGATCAGCAGATCCAAAACCGAATATCTGTGCTGTGATTTCGGCGGTCTTTCCAGTCCTGTACCCATGTCGTTGGATGGCGCTATACTGCCTATCTGCTCAGATGTCAAGTACCTCGGTTCCCTCATTCAAGGCGACGGCGGAATAGATAGAGATGTGCAGCATAGGATTAACGCAGAGTGGATGAAATGGCGACAGGTCACAGCCACAACGTGCGATCCCCGAATGCCAATAAGGCTGAAGGGGAAAATTTACAAATCGATCATCCGACCTGTCGTCATGTATGGAAGTGAATGCTGGGCCGTCAAGAAGAAGGATGAAAATAGACTGCATGCGAATGAAATGAGAATGTTACGATGGATGTGTGGTGTGACAAGGATGGATAAGATAAGGAATGAGTATATAAGAGGAAGCCTGAAAGTAGCGCCAGTGGTAGAAAAGGTGAGAGGAAGCAGATTGGCATGGTTTCGGCATGTGATGCGGAGGAATGAAAGTCATGTCACAAAACGAGTGTTGAATATGAATGTGGAGGGACACACGGGCAGAGGAAGGCCGAATAAAAGATGGATCGATTGTGTGAAGAGTGATATGAGAATGAAAGGAGTAAGTATGGAAATGACAGCTGATAGAGAGGAATGGAACAAAAAGATTTACTGCGCCGACCCCAGATAATGGGAAATGGTTTAGAGAATGATGATGATGTTGACAGCAAATTCTTTCATTTCATGTTACATTGCATATGATGTTCCGAAGTCTGTATACTGCATAAGGCATTCAATTTCAGCATTTTCAAATGGATATAATACTGTATTTTCTAAGTAGTTATGGTGGTGGTTGTCTATCAGGGTAGGTACCTCCATCTTACCTAATTCTGCAACCACATAGTGTTCCAATCTGAAATGTACAGAGCCAGTACAATGAGGCTGTGATACATCTTAGTCCTGTCATCTGTAGTCTTCTTTGTTTTAATGTTGCCACTTACCATCTGGTGGACTTACAGTTTGTTTATTACTTAAATTTTATAAAAACAGCCATCAAGATGCTCAACTAAGATCCATTTATTGATTAGAAGGGTGCACCATTAGAGGTGAAGCTGGCATTTGGAGTAGAATTTACAGTGCCCTAAAACACCCACGGCATTGAGTAAGTCTCACAGGATTTATTTATTTATATATGAATGTAAATATATTTACCCAAAAGTATGAAGTCAAAGTTAGATCCAATGTTTCATGTATATCTTGAGGTGGTTGTGTCATCAGGGACCTAGGGCTTGGAATACCACAACAGTAAAATAGCATGCTTACAAATCCAACATCCCTTTTCACTTGTTCAGACATTGTGGTAACATTTTCTCTCTTTGTTATATCACATTCATAAATATAAGTTTTACCACCTTTGCTCTTTATCATGTTAACTGTTTCTTCATTATTTGCAACATTCTTATCAACACAGAGAACAATTGCACCAAGTTCAGCTAACTGGATTGCAATTTGACGACCTACTCCCCTTCCTGAACCAATTATCTAGGAAAAAAATATTTTATCAATACACAATCTTAGCAAGCATTCACAATTTGTTAATAGATGAAATGGCTTTTTCTATCAATTGTATTAATCTGTTACAATGGTAGAAAACTATCACTATTTGGTGACTAAATACAACTGTCAATACCAATTTTCAGCCAGATCAGTTCATTAGCCTTTGATATATCACAGGATAAACAAGTCAATGGAAGGAACACTAACTCTAGAGAAAATTAAGTTTTATGCCGTGATTAAGTTCCTCACTAAGCAAGGAAAAACACCATATATCATTATGGAAGAGATGTTATCTGTTTACAAGGACTCTTGCCCTAAAAAAAACAATGATTTACAAGTGGCATAGCCTTTTCAAACAAGGCAGATTTAATTAAAGACAATCAGCGCTCCGGCTGACTGATTGAGACTTTCTCAGACATTGTTGAAAAAATTGTTCTTGCACATGATTATTTAAACAGATCACAGAAATGACGAGTATCTTTGCTTTCGGACAAGACTGGGATTCATCGGACCTGAGCCAAAGCAGGAGTCCATGCAGTGGCATAAAAAATGTGCACCACCACCTAAGAAGTTTAAGCTGTCACAATTGTCTGGAAAGATTATTGCAAAAGTTTTTTGGGATTGAGAGGGGATTTTATTGATCAATTATAAAGATAAAGCTATCAATATCATTAGTATGTAAACATCCACTACTGAACATAGAGCTCTACTGTTTTATGGAGTATTTCCCTTTTGCCATAATCACCACAAATTTAATAGACTAATTTGTGTGCTATAAGCATAATTCTGGTAGAGAAAATCTACTGCCACATTGTGAAGGATTAGAAATGATAATACCATGTAGTGGTGGTGTAAAGATATCCACTACCCCACATCGTCCCCTAGGTTGTAGTAAGAGGCAACAGAGGGATATTCAAAATAGGAGGTGGGCAGCAGCTTCTTCCTGATAACAGTTCAAAATTATAAAAGCTGCAGTTGCCAAGCGTAATTCTCCCTATGAGGCAATCTATGGTGGAGGCCTATGTTCAGGATGGGAGGTTTTTGGGCTGTAATGGATGGATAGATAGATAAAAAATGAAAGGAGAACAAGAAAAAATTATGCTTACCAGAGCAGTCTCGAGTTTTACAGACTTTAATGGTGGAGGATTAAAAAAACCATAAAGTGCTTGAAGTATTGCATAATTTGTGTTTACAACAACCCATACAACATCAACCATTAAAATACATATTGAATAAGTTTTTAATAGCATTTTAATAGGAAACATTGGGTTTAAAACAGTTCCGATTGTATTCCCCATCAGTTGCGATCCCTGAAATTGAAAATCAAAAGATTTCTTTTCAGGTTGTATTATTTCTTTTCCTATATTCTTCAAGAAAAATTCATAGCTGTTAAAAATATAGTAAAATAAGACCTAGCCGTTAGCTTTCTTTACCAATTAATACTTACAATTTTTATTAAAAATTCCATCTCTAATACGACAATCTTGACTCTTGGAATTGTATACCAAAATAAACGTATCGATTAAATTTTATATAAACGAAAGATAGTACTACCTTGTCCGTAAATAAAATATGATGAACTTTAATTATATCGCCCGGAACTCAGTTGCATTACAACAGCTGCTAACATAACTGATAATAAATATTAAAGTATTAGGTTCTTCGGGTTCTTCCTGATAAATAATTGATAACGTCCACAGAATATTGACTAAATATATATTATATTACGTACATACATACATATGTTTTGATTTTGATATTTTTTTAATAACTGGCTTTACGGCTCTGGGTTCTAGCTCTTCTGTTCTGAGATTCTGAGCTTGAAGTTACTATGTATAATTATCCTTCATAGTACACTGCTTCACAATATGTTGATGCGTCACATTGTGCAGCCCTTGGTAGATTTTGACGGCAACTTGAGCGAGCAGACGGCTGAAAGTTGGCAATGGTATCTCAAGGCGTCTAAGCAGACAGATACCTTATCTTGAGAATCACATCACCATCAGAACACTTGTTTCAAACTTGTGAATAGTATCAAATGTATATGGACTGGGCATACCAAAAGAATTAGCGTGACTACCTAAACAAATCTGGCGCTTAAAATGACCGCCTTTTATAGGGTTGTTACTCAGCAATATGGGCAGCTTGATATCGATATTTTTACCAATATGAGTTTGTCCTTATTTCATATAATTATAAAAATTAAATCCATAATATCCTAATTGCATAACACTCCTAAAATGGCAAACCATACCAATTTGACAGTTTAACAACATCCATTGCGTGGTTTTGTTTGTCGAGCAAACGAATTTTTCAATCACATGAAGCAATGGAAATTGTTGGGTTGTTAAATTAATTTTGGATTGCTATCCCTTAAATTTCGCTTGAGCTGATTCACGAGGTTCCACCGCATATGTACACTTACGCAATGCACACTCTGCTACAGATTTTTTATGTTAGGTACACAGTCAAACCTGATTACGTACTTAACTTAACCACAGGGTTTTTGTTACATATTGTATATGAATATATAAAACGTGTACAATAATATTGCACAGTAAACAAATGTATGGAGATGGGATGGAGATCCTTGATTTCATATAGTAATCCCATATTATAATATTTTTAATATAAAATAATAATGATTAGTTGAGTAAAAATTAAATAAACTGTTTTTAAAATCAATACTTATTTGTTATTAATTGGTATATAGGAACGTTCTACACATAATTGATCACAAATGGTAAGTTATATAAGCATGTTTGGTCATGCCGGATATTTTTTTTTCCGATTTTAAATGAAATATATTATTATTTTCGCATGTACATTAATTTTGTTCTGGCATGATCATGAAACGGTGGATGAAATATGATATCTAGGATTTATAAACTATTATTATTATTATATATTCATTTCTAAACAAAATTAATTTATTAAAATAATTTCTATCGACACCATGGATTAAAGTGTACGACAATATTTCACTGCTTTTTTTGACAGTTTGACAGTAGATCTACTGTAGATAAACTTGGCGCTTAACATGGCGGCGCAGTCACTCAAGGATTAGCTAATGACGTCACACGAAAGTATTACCAAAATAAGCACTAAACAATCTGTAGATGTCTCCCTTTTCTATTGCAGCTACTGCTTTGTTAAAAAGAGACAAAACTATTTTTGACAAGTGTTTGTCGATATTATAAATATTTGTATTACTTTTATTTCTATAGTGGAATATGCCCTCTCCATAGGTATATATCTCTACGCTGGCTTGAGTGGTTATTGGTTAATATGGAATGAAGGCTAATAATCTTCCAGTTACCAGATGTCGCTAGTTGTGACTGAGGTAAAGTTTTCTGTTACACAGTGTCAGTTAATTGAGAAATTCATTTTAAATAATAGTTTATCATTATCTAGTATCTAGAGTATTATATTAACACACAACACAATGAGTCAGTGGTTTGATTTTTAATTTTTTGCACTTTATAACTCTTTTTAAATAAAATCGTCTTTTAGTTATATTTATAGTTTGGTTTATTCATATCTAATGTAATGAAAATAAAATATAACTATTAAAACAGAAAGAAACCTTAAAGATTACATTTTCCTAAGAAAATATCGTACTCTCTATAGTGCATGCTACACACTCTATAATTATCACGATATTTAACGTGATTTTTATCTTGCAATATTTTGGATCGAATCTACATACTACACACTCGATACTAATCGCGTCCGTACAACGGTAGATTTCATTCACTATAGACGTGTTCGTTACATAATCTGAAGCCAGTAACGTAATGAGTGACTATAAAAGTAATGCTTGCGTTGCTATTATATTAGCGATAGCATTAAAAAGACAAAAAAAATGGATGAAGTATTGGCTCCATCCATTTTTTTCTCTATACACGTCTCTCTCACGTGAATTCTTTCAAGATGTTTTGGTCATTCGTTTGAGGTACGGCTGGCGCCGCCACCGTATCAAGAAGCGCGTCCTCCTCCATCGCTGACAATGAATACTGACACGATAAATATCGACCAGAGACTAGACATTCGATATTTATCGACGATACTTGATACAGATCGTTGGATTTTTGGATTTTTAGAAATCCAGCGATCCGTATCAAGATCCGTGATATGCTATACTATACACTCAATAAATATCGTAATCCTAGATTATGATCCAAATATCGTGATAATTATCGAGTGTGTAGCATGCGCCTATGTAATCTGTCAAATATTTTACCTCATTGTAAAGTGGCGCCGCCCTGGCGGTAGAAAAAGTCGTGGATCATTGAATTTGAAATAAATAAAAAGTTTAGCTTGCTTGCTACAGATCTAATAATCTGGAATAAAGTTATTTAAGGAAGTCTCAGAGCCCAAAATCTATTCAATTTTTAGATTTGCCGCTGTATGCTATAACACTAGTACTTTTTATTATTTTGTGGATTTATCCAACCAAGATTACTTTTATAATAATAAAAATGGCTTTTGTTTATCAAGGAGATTCTGAATTGGAATCAAAAGCCAGAAAAGGTATGTATACATGTTTTCTGTTATTGACTTATTGTATTTTGTTTAAAATATCTATTTGTTTGAGTTATATATGGGATATAATTAAATGTTTTATAATTGATTCCAGCTGCAGAAAGAATCTCAGAGAATATGCATATTGTAGCCAATGAGCCCTCCCTAGCATTGTATAGACTACAGGAGCATGTTAGGAAAGCTTTACCTCCAATGGTGGAAAGAAGAGTAGAGGTTACTAAATTACAACATGAATTGCAAGGAAGATGTTATGATGTTGAGTATGCATTAAGGTAAGACATTTATTATGTTATGTACATGTAATCTGTGATAATTTTTATGTTAACTTTTGGTTTATAATAAATTAGAATACTGATTTATTATAAACCAAAAGAATGAAAGATGAATTATGTTGAAACGGGCTTAGGCAGTCTGTGACTGCGGTTTGGAATATTGTAATAAAAACTTGCACTGTTGATCTTGGGGAGTACTCTTTCTTTTCTCCTTTCACATGACATATTAGTAATTCTTGTTGAACAACAGATAAATTCTTTTAATTCAGAAATAACTTACTCATTTTCTACAGACCGATTTAGACCAGTTCAAAATCATTGGAAAATATATATATTTATATGTGGTAGAGCCATGCTGCAGCTATATTATGGTTGTAGCACAAATGACCGACACCGAAACGACCGGGGAAGAACCACACTCTCACAGAATACCAGCTTAAAATAGCAGCTTAACGCTGCTGTGTTTCGTATGATGAGTGTAGAGAACTGGAGAACCTTTTTACTGGAAACGAGTTATTCACAGCAGCCACTTACCGTCAGTGTGTGTTCGTTTGTTACCCTTATCCTATAAGAAATAAAAATTACAGTAGCTGGTGTTGTGCAAGGCAGCATGTTGTTTCCTTTACTGTTATTTGCATGAATAGTGTTTTTTTCCACTTTAACCGAGTCTTAGTATTACCAAATTTGTATTAATAATTTAACAATTTTTGTGTTTTTGTTTTTTAATAATATATCAAACCGGATTCATCTAAATGAAAACTTCCACTTCTGTTTTGGCTCAGGGCCATGCTTTATGACATTTATGACCTACACATATGTTATATTTAATACTTGGGTTATAATGATGATGATGAAGAAGCTGTTAGTCATTTTCATTCATAGTCACATTCATTTCATTTCAGTCACTTTTTCTTAATGCTCCTTCTATAAATTGTATGCACTCTTTTACACTTTACAGAAAATCTTCATTGTTTTTTTGTGTGAATTTTTTAAATTTCTTATTTTTGTCCATCAGACATTGCTCATCTTTTATATTTGTCCAAAAAGTGGTTTAAAGAATATTATCGGCCACTGGTAATTGGTATGTAGTGTGGCTCCCATCAGATGGAATGTCAGTTCAGGAGGCCTATATCCAGCTGTGGACTTTTGAATGGATGTAATGATGAATGATGAACCACTTCAAGTAAGTAAATGTTTGTGTTGGGAGTGGTTAACAACAGTAATTGAGTTGCATATTTGAACCTGCAACATACCCTAAATCTTACTTACTGTTCTTCCTACATTTACATTCTTATTTTTTACGTTACTGCTTCTGAGAAAATAAACAGCATAGCACAGTACAATTACCTTTATCTAATCAAAATGGTATTCATATTTCAGTGCTGTCAAATCAATGGATGGTGCCGCAACGAGTTTTAGAAACATACAAGAAATGCTGAAACAGTCTATTTATCTAAAACAACAATTGAAATATGAAGAGAATAGGAGAAATAAAAAAGATACAAATTCAGTCTATAAACGTCTCTCTGCTCATATAGTTCTAGATTTGCCAGACTTGTCTGATTTCTCTATGGTTCGCGAAACAACAAACAGAATAGAACACATGATGGCCCATGCTAGAGGTTCAAATAGTGAACTACAGAGGTCACACACCACATTGCATTAGCATATTTTAACTCAGTTATTTTAAGACATATATAAGGAAAAGTTATGCGACAGTTGTGTGTGACGTCATTCCGACAATACAATGTGGCTTGCATTTTCATTTCGAATTGGCAAGATAACGTCGCAAGCAAGTTAGAGGCCACAGTTATTCCACGCTAATTTGCAATCTTAAATAATCAATTTCTCAGTCATTTTGTGATGGATTTCAACATATTTATACTTATTGGCATATTAGTTTGGAACTATATTTTATTTTTATCAAGTTAAATATAGTATCAAACTTTTCCATTGAATGAAACCAGTCTAACGTAAATATCATTATGTGTTCTTGAGTAATGCGAAGCTAAAATTAACCACTAATGTACATTTGCACACACAAACATACATTCTACTAAAATTATAGCATCTTATTCTAGAGTAACGTGGAGATGTATCAAACATTTTGGGGAAATGGAATCATTACAGTAACTTCTTACTGGGAAGTTAATTAATTTTAATAACTTAGTTTTTAGCTTAGTTAGCTAGATAGATAGATTTTACCAGATGACAGTATTATACGACTTGTTCCATAAAGCTGTGTGTAGCTTTGTAGGAAGTAGAAACGACCCGCCTCCATAAATTTAAAATTTACTTTTAGTCGTTAGGTTTATTAGTATTGAGATAAAATAATTTATTGTATTATTATACGCTGTTTTACAACTGTGTTGCCTACTAATGCAGGCAATATAGTTGTTAAACAGCATAGGAAGATGAACTAACCAAATTGAAATTGGTTCTTTTACAAGTCAGCTACAAACAATCTGCTTCTACCCACATAAAAAAAGATGTTTTTTGTAATTCCAGAGACTAATGACATTTCATGTGTTACTTCTTTTTTGGCATAGTTTTAAAAGTTATTGTCACTAAATAGAGTTGAATTTGTATTAGGTATCTATTGTTCAAAAAAGACTTCTGAATAATAATGGGAAAAAGCAGCGGCAAAGCTTAAAGCCACGCTGCTGCATGAATGGGTTGGATTGACCGGGAAAATACCACACTTGCTTAGAATACCAGCGTAAAAAAGCAGCTAAGTAGCTCCTGAGCTGTGTTTCGCCTTGTGAGCGACGGAAAACATGGAGCCTTTTTACTAGTAAAGAGGCACTTCATCTTATTCCTCAAGGATGTCAACACATCTATTCATATAGATTATACAATTTCATTTGTGAAATTAAAACTTGAACCATGAACACTGCATATTTATTATAATTCCGTTTTTATATGTGCTTGTCTCAAATCTTTGGTAATAGTGGGTTACCTGGGTACTATCAAGTAAACTACAATCTGACCGATTTGTACAAATGTTTTTTTTTTATATATAGGATAGGGTGACAAATGAGCACACAGTCCACCTGATGGTAAGTGGTTGCTGTGGCCCATAGACATCTACATCTATCCTCGTTTGGGAAAATATGCAGATGTGTTGTCACCCGTGAGGACTAAGATGAAATGCCTCTTTTCCAGTAAAAAGGGTCTCCGGTTCTCTACACTTACCTCTCTACATTTTTGTACTTTATTAATTTTTATTGAAGAGAAATATGTTCAGCAGCGGACTTGTGAAGGGCTGTAATGATGATGATTTATTCTGATAATTTTACTTAACATAGTTTCACAATTTTTTATTCATACCTTTATTCTTCACATAAGAAAAGGGACTATTTGTGTTAAAATTCTTCTAATTATCTCTATGTATTTTCGTTTGGTCAAAGTTTTGATAATTACTTAAACACTACTATACTTAGTACTTTACAAAAAAAAATCTCCAATTTGCCACAATATAAATTCATTAAAGCAATATGATAGTTTACAGTGTAGTAGCGGTAGTGCGTAAGAATATCTACTACTCCATAATGTCCCGTGGGTGTCGTAAGAGGCGGCAGAGGGAAACATACCAGTACATGGGGAGTAGCATCTTCTTAATAACTAAAACTTGTGATTTCCCGCTGGGCAAGCTTGGCAACTCTAGCTAATAGCTATACAACCATGTGGTTTTCTGAGGTAATCTGTGGTAAGACCTGTGTTAAGCAGCGGACTTTTGATAGTCTGTACCGGTAAGGCAATATGATACCTTTGCAAATTTTCACTGCTTAATATTTCCGATGAAAATAAACGCATGAATGCTTTTGCTGACACATACTTTATTCCCAATTTAACATCTGTGATTTAGTTTTCGTACTTGTAAGATTTTGTCGTGGATCTTAAAATTATTAATTTTCCTATAATCTTTCTAACTTACGGGAATCATGAAACAATTGTCATTTAAAAAAAAAATTACTCTATGTATAATTACTATTAAGCTTTTTTAATGAGTAATGAGTCACACTTGTCTAAGAAAATAGTAGAAATGTGAACTTTACATATCATATCACGTTCACTATAAGTTCTATCAAATGTAAAACAAAAGTACGTGGCGTATACCACTTTGATATACGCAACGCGGTTTAAAACATTTAAGGACCCTGTATTCACAAAAATTCACAGAAAATTCCGAGGAAAAAAAAGAAGAGAAAGTTAAGAAAATTCAGGCGCGGTTTCTCACCGCGGTGGTGGTAGTACGCGACTAACGGTGTAGATTTCGCTAAAGCTTGCTGGAGACAAAAGAGCCCTTTTAGCGAGATCTTTTATGGCACAGGTAGTAGTACTGCGGGGATAGCCAAAATGAATGTTGGAAAACGTTACTTTCACGTGGCTTAACGTTAATTTCATTTATTTTTGTAGATTTCTACAAGCATTAACTATTGTGAAAAGTCTTCTTGGCTAGCCCCGTTTAGTTAGCTGTCATGTCACCATTTTTTGTGCTGAAATCACCTCTTCCAGACGCTACGGGGTCAGCGTGTGCTTCGTTCTTACAGTGTACGACTCTCATTATAGTTCAAACCGTCTTAGCTTGTCAAAGTATACCGATTATTTTTTTTTTTGTGAAATTTGTGTATCAATTACTTACATAATATTGTGTATTTGTGTTTGCTTGGTGCCATCATATTCCATCGGTGCAATTTCATTGATATAACCAATTTTAATATTTCATTTTACTGTTTATGTAGGTACTAGAAAATAAATGTATATATTGTACAACTAACTTTATTAATAAATGAAGTACTAACTAATATTGCTTACGTTTCTTTTGCTTTTGGGGGGAACAGCCTAATTAACTTAAAGCTTAAGCAAAACTTAACCAATGCTTTCTAAATCTCTTTTCTTAGTCTTCTAAGTTTTCATGTTTGAATTAAGTGGATCGTGGTGCATTACAAAACTTTGCATATTTCTATATTTAATATAAATAAGAATGTGATTCTTCGTCATGTTAGGTATTGAAAGTGCCATTATTGTTAGTTATTTATACGAGTATACTTTTTGAAAATTTCACCTGAGCTTTGGGCCACGTATGTACGTTGTGATTTATCTCTGGAATATCACGGACCATGGCAACTCTTTCAATTTAGTTAGGTTATATTTCTCTTCGAACGGGATCAGTCCGTTTATCGCCGCCTGATTAGGTTTTATCTTTGGTGGTCGCGAAGAGATACGTTTAAAGAAAGAAAATGGTGTTTTTTCCTTTACAGGTTGCCGACCACTTTCGTTTGCCAAGATCCAATTATACACATAATTGATAGGAATTGCTGACACGATGTACGAATAGACTGTCTGGTTTTCTGCCACGAGTTTCTCCATTTTATCAAATAAAGTCGACCAGTTGAGATCGAAGTCCAGTAATTGGACGTTTACGAGAACCTATAAAAAACATATTGTAAGACATTACATTTAGCGTATAAAATCTCGAATGGAACGTTGGCATTAATTCGAAAGGATACCGTCAGCTTCTTCTGACAATTTCTTTTTGTTTTACACACACTTGCACACTAGGATTTTCTCTTGTATCGCGACAAACATCAACACCCGCAACAATTATTTAGGCCATACAAATACTTGTTCCGTGCGGGATTCGAAATCGAGGTTCTAAGCGCTGCAACTCTCGTTTGTTTATCTTAGGCTGTATTGACAGCGTAAGAGAGTCTACTACCCAATCTCATTTCACAGTTGATGAAAAGTTGGGTATAGAATGTGATGTAACTGTCTGATATCATGTCGCTTTAAAATACCCAAAAAGGTGACACTGAGCAGCGTCAAAGTAAAGACCGCATGCTACTATTATAATCCCCCAGCCGTTTAATAAGCGTGACGATTACAGCAAACCTGGCTCATTTTCAGCGGTAGGTTTTTCACGGGTTTATGTAGCACATACATGTGAAGTAGGTACAGGGTATATTGCTTTTTATACCAGTGCTAGTGACAAACAAGTACAGAAGGTAAGTGGATGTAGTGATAGGTACCTGCATCCTCTATTAACTTAAAATTAAGTCGTAGATGTGTTGTCGGCCTTGAGAGCTGAGAGGGAATGCAAACTGTAAGAAGGGTATTCGGTTCTCTACACGTATTATACGAAAATCTGCGAGAGCATGGTCTTTTTCCGTCCGTGCCGGGCCATCCGTGCTGCAACATCTGCAGCATGGCGCTACCAAGTTAAAAACTCAACTTTTCACCATTTGATAAATTTATCTCCCTGTGTTGCAACCAGCTAACTGACACAAGGTCCTGGCCGTCTGATGACGGAAATCCACCCGAAACATAACTAAAACTAACTGGTTAAAGAAGTGAAGCAGCTTTATCAATACAGGGAGAGACCTACCCTGCGTCCTGTATCTCATAGACAGCTAGGTATATAGCTGTAGAGTCATAGAAGCTAAAAGGAAGAGGGCATGATAAAATTTGTTTATTCCACAGAAAATTTATAGAGTTATGGTAAAATGACTGCTTACTTCCGATACGTCGTTAATAACGAAGGTTAAGAAGTAGCTGCTGAGCATATTCTTCACATCCACCTCATCCTTGAGGTGCAGTACGACTGTGAAACCCTTGTGGCTGTACCGCGCTACCAAATTATCCACACTGTCTATGTCGTAGATCAAACCATTTACTAGCATAGCCAGGCGGTTCGTCACCGGCAGGTGACTTTCTACGCTACAGAAAACGAAAATATTATTGATCCCTTATTCAAGAATTTTTATTTATAGGATAAGGGTGACAAACGAGCACACAGTCCACCTGATCTACATTTATACTCAATGACGAATCAAAATGCAGATGCGTTGTCACCCGTGAGGACTAAGATGGAATGCCTCGTTTCCAGGAAAAAGGGTCCCCGGTTCTCTACACTGACCATACGAAACACAGCAGCATTGAGATGCTATTTTACGCTGGTATCCTGTGAGAGTGTGGTCCTTCCCCGATCGAGCCGATCCATTCGTGCTACAACCATACTAATAATATATGTAGCTGCAGCATGACTCAACGTACATTTCAATCAGTCAGATTTGCCAACGATGTATACTTATTACACTCTTAGTTTTGAGCTCTTGATGAATCAAAACGTAAAATACGATTGAAAATATCACTGGAGGCGTTTATTGAAGCGGTATTTTTTTCTCGCATACTGTGATATTACTTTCAACGATCGGACGTTGATTAAGTCTAAGGACGCGGGTTCAATTATCACACGAATCAAGTAAAGTTTTATATGGCCTATAAACAATTGTTTTGTTTATGTAGCATTTATGTATACAGGGTTATTTTTCAAAGAGAAGCCAAATTTTAAACTTAAGTTCATATAATATAAATAACGATATACCGTTATTGCAGTATTTTGAAAATACGAGTAAATAAGGCTTCTACTTTTATTTGAAATTATCTCAAATTGAATGCGATTTATGGGCGTCAACGTTTTTGCCTACTGATCGACCCTTACGAATGTTTGCATGCCCATTAAAATCAGTTAAAATAATGCATTACCACGCATTTTGAATATAAAAGATAAAAAGGACAGAATGTTTGAGATGTTATTTAATAAATTTTTCTTCACCATTTGCCTATATTACTTATTCTGAACCTTCACTGCAAATTAGGCCGGTTATTGCAAAATAACCCTGTATACATCGATCACTAATAAAAAACTTAGTGATCGATGCCTGTACGGTCACCCGAGACAAGTGTGACAGTGGGGCAAGTGTAACAAATGCGAATTATGTGGCATAACCACGTTTTTCGGTTAAATTATATCTATTGCTACGCTATTGACTATATACCAACAGTTAAGCACATAGCTTCATCTATTTTATCGACAGACTTCATTTTTTTAAAACTACTCTGAAAACTTGCCCCATGTGGGGAAAAACTCATTGTTACACAAAAATGGACGTTCAAATCGTTTATAGATCTTTAATATATTTTGAGATTAGGTAGTACTATCCCTTCAATTTTGTCCAAAACCACATATAATAATAAAGTAACAACAAAAAGAAGCGCACTGTCTGTCCATTTGCCTCATTGCTGGGGTAAGTGTGACAGTCTTCCACCTCAATTAGTTTTAAATACCTTAAATTAAAAAAAAAAACGCTTCTTGTAGATACTAAAATGCTTGATCAAACAAACAGGCACATAACAATTGATGTTATGAAACTGGATTATCCATTTTAAATCCTTACAGTGTAGAAGTATTTTAATGTCCATTATAGTTTTAATAAATTTATGTCACACTTGCCTCGGGTGACCATATATAAAACAACTCCGCGGTACAGGACAAAGTCTTATTGCACTAATATTATAAATACTAATATTAAAGGTAGCTGTATCTTGAGTAACACGGTCAAATTGAATCGTAAACATACCTACAAGAACTAATGAAAACGGCATGCCCTCGCTTCCTTAGATGGTGTAGAATATAGTACATAGCGCGTCTTACTGAATATTTCTGATAGGCGGTAAACTCGTCTAAGACGAGGATAGGGGGTGCGCCGACAACAGCAGCCGCGAAGTGCACCTTAGTGAGGTCCGTTTGTTGTAAACAATCGATTACTGTATCCGCTTTGTCATGAAGCTCTGAAATTTTTTTTTTTCTATTAAAGTGTGACAAACGAGTTTACAGTCTACAAAGTCTACATCATGGTAATTAGCCACTGCAATCCATGGGACACCTGCAACTAACTCCAAAAAAGACACCTACGAGAGGGTAAGTGCATTCTCCGAGGAGTAAGTTTTTAAGTAAGTTTAGCTACTACAGAGCCTCTCGTAACTTTAAAGTAGCTTCCCGTGGCTGGTTATATAACTATTAGAAACTAAAAGACCTTTTCTTAACCTTCAACGTTTAGTTTTAAGTTTTTTTTTAAGAAGTAAGAGTGTCAAACAAGCACAGAGTACACCTGATGGTAAGCCAATGCCTGTATAGAAACCTATAATTTAATCCTCGATTACTCGTTGTCACCTCTTGAGTCCACTAAAATGGAATGTATAATTACCAGTAAAAGGGAGACCCTTTTACTGGTAATCTTTTTTACTTTTACTGGTTCTCCTCACTCATCACACGAAGCACATCAGCATTATGCTGCTATTTCACACTAAAATAAAAAACTGTCAGTCGTAGGACTGCACGTCAGAAGTGAAAACTTCTTAGTTTCACAAACTTATAAACATTATTTTTGTATATATGTATGTATCTGAACGTGGCGGTCACGCGAGCTCAGTGCTTTTTCCGCACTTTTCACTTCTAAAAATCTATGTTGTTTTGAAACAAATCCTATCCATATTTATTCTTATTTGATTATATAATATCTATTAATATTACTCGAAAACTTACCAAGAGCATCAATGTAGTTCATAACTTCAGTCTTCACGTATTTATTTGGGACACCGCGCAGTATCGCTATTAGTTCAAGTGCGTCGAATATGGTCATCCAAGGAGGTAAAGGTGTACGGTCTGAACAAAGTCCAATTTGGCAGGCGTACTGGATACAGGAATAAAAATTACAGACACTACAAAACAACAGTTATGTTATTTTGTATCAGAAATTTTAAAATTTAATATTATATACTACCTTATGTGGATGTCTTCGCACTTCCCAAGTCGACATCGCCCACAGTTGACCGCTGGTGGGTAATTTATATCCAGCCAGCACCTCGCAAAGCTTTCTTCTGCCGTGGTTTTTCAGCCCCGATAGAGCCTGGACCTCGCTTTTACCTAGGCCTAAGTAAACGTTCCTGATTGTACCAATGCCTACATCTTCTTTAGTTACATCAATAGCGAGGAGATATTCGCCGAAGTTATCCATCTTTAAGTCTATGAAAACAACATGATGTGCCAAATGTTAATACAAAGCCAGACAAGCGGGAGTAGGTGTAGAGTCCTGACGTTTTCATATAAAGATAATTAGGTATGTATTTAGTTCTTTCATCCTGGGAATTCTAGGTAAAGTAAATACCGAAAATTGCTCTAACGTAAAGGCAAATCTGAATTACGGAGAATCATTACATTTGTTTTAATCTAAACGTTAAACCCACACTAGGATTTTCTTCTGTATCGTGGAGGCAGTTTACAAACATCCAGACCAGGAACTATTATTTGTAGGTCATAGAAATACTTGTTCTGTGCGGGGTTCGAACCCGCGACCCCCAGCGCAGCAACTCATTGCTAAGCCACTACGCCATGGAGCCGACATTCCAGTGGAAACATTATATATGGCCGTATCTTCTGATTTTGCTGACTTAAAAGCTTGAACTTTTACTTCCAAGGGCAAAACGACCTTAGTATAGTTGATAGCTAATAATTTCAACTTAATATCTCTATCCGTTCTTGAGAAAAAGGGTATTGGTAGACGGACAGAGGTACACACAGCGATATTTTTTTATAGTATATTTATATAATATTGACAAACAGGCACACAGTCCACATGACTGTAAGTGGAAGCTGTGGCCCATAAGCATCTATATTAATCCTCGATTAATAATAAAAATGCAGATACGTTGTCATCCCTGAGGACTAATCCCTGAGGATGCCAGTTTCCAGTAGAAAGGGTCTCCGGTTCTCTAATAATAACAATATTTGCTTAAGTCCTTAAATAGCCTTATTCTTCATCATCGGCCCGTAAAAGTAATACACGACATGGATTCTCCCTTAATAGAGAAGATATGTTCAAACTGTCACGCTTGGCAGGCCGATTGGCAATTGCAGTACCGGACGTCTCGCACCTTTTGACCCTGCACCCAGTCACTGAATACTTTACTATGATTATAACGCAATGGTTTTATTTTAAATTAAACTGTTTTCAGTTTTGCCAGTGAGTCACTCTTGTAGGCGTCAGTTGAAAATTAGCGCGACTTCAACAGGAGTTTTTAGCGTCTATCGACGGAAACCATTTTATTTTATATCTGTTATGTTCTTGCTTTTTTTTTCTTATATTATATCTTTGCATGATGTTTGTTAACGATCAATAAAATTTTATATTCTATTATACAATATTATTTAGGATGTTTAACACCGTAGGTATTATTTTATCAACTTAAAACCACAGTACCACCGCCTCAAATTCAATCGCCATTATCGACACAAAAAGCCAAGGGGCAGGATGCTCGACTTACGATAAGCTACGCAGAAAATACTTTTCTTTGGTAATGGACTGGTACAGTTTGGTTCCGGACTAACTTTGAGAGATGAAGTAACAAAGTGATCGCCCTTTGACAGCTGTTACGACAGGAGCTTACGTGGAAATTACGTGTTAAAGCCATGCTACAGCTATATTACTGGTATAGTTATTGTACGAATGGGTCGTCTCGATCTGGGAAGGACTACGCTCTCACAGAAAACCAGCGTAAAATAGCAGCTTAATGCTGCTGTGTTTTGTATGGTGAGTGTAAAGAACCTGTTACTGGAAACGAGGTATTCCATCTTAGTCGTCACGGGTGACAACGCATCTGCATTTTGATTCGTAATAGAGGATAGATGTAGATGTCTATGTGCCACAGCAACCACTTACCATCAGATGGACTGTGTGCTCCTTTGTCACCCTATTCTATAAAAAAATAATACAAAGAACGTTTCAGTTACGTTGTCACTTCTATGTACTAAGATGGAACGCCTCACTATCTGTAGTCTATACCCTTCACTGTTTCACTATACCCTTCCGATGGGAACACAGCAGTGTATGCACTGCCGCTTGGTGGCAGAGTTAGGTAAAAGGACCTCCCCAGACAGAAGCAGAAGAAGAGTCCTACAACCTAATATTTTTTTTTCTTTAATTATCTGATACCCACTCAAAAGTAAGAGAAGGCCTGCCTTCGGTGGTGGGACGTATAACGAGTGTTACTTTATGAAACTAACTTTGACTGGAATGAAGATACTTATATTTATCCATAACATTCGCCTTCTCCTTCTGTACTCCCAACGAATCCGGTTCCCGTGCGTATTTAATCGGGTAAATTTTGTTCACTGCGTACATCCATCCACGCTGTATCAATTTATATTCCCAAAGCATTAACAGTGTCACAAATATAACAGACGTGCTGAGTATAGCCGCTAGTTCCATTATAATTCCAGTCTCTTTGTTTAGAAGATATGATTGTCTTGTAAAACATTCCTGCAGAACACCACATTTTTCTGTAACAAAGGTTTTTGTTTTTCACTTAAGAAGACTTCTTTAGCAGCGTTGAGCGATTTTTGGCAAGGGAAAAACTTATGGATTCGCGTTACCGATGACCTTGAAATGTCTACTAGGTGTCGCTAGTCTGGCACAAATCAGACTAGCGTCACCTTGTATATCGGCCTGTGTACATGCATACGCCTATAGAATTGCGTTTTCAATTCTTTCGGCAGTCTTTTTTTTATAGTTGCCTGTTCCGACTGATCCCCAGTTCGTGATACCCAGTTCCTATCACCCAGTTTCAATATTGATTATCCCATTAGCATAGTAGTTTTATCTAGCAGTCAATCACCAACCACCAGACCTAAACATAGTAGACTACTGTACTTCAATTTGTCAGATCGCATTATAAGACTGCTTTGGATGCGATTGTTGAGATTACGATCTACCCTCGTCACGAAGCGCATCCTGCAGTCAGTGTCAAAATATTTACTTTGCTTATTAAAATACAATTTAAAATTTTATTAATTTCTTCATCCAATCATTAAAAGTCTACTGATGAACATGGACCTCTCCCATAGGTCAGCTCGTAAGGTGATATTTGTTATTAGTTGCTCCGCTTAGCTAGCAGGTTGGTAACAGTAGTTTTTTAGTATTTATCTCCTGTTTTACAGCTCAATAATAATAAATATATAAAAATATTATATATTTATTATTAAACTATATAACATATATCACTAAAAATCACTTACGATACCCACGGAATGATTGGGGATTCCTAGTGGATTCTTTCGCGCTAATACACCGCTAAGTTATTAGCGCCACACACTATATGCATAGATTATTACCAAGGCATATTTATTTTGTATTTTTTTTGTAGGGGAGGGTGACAAACGAGCACACAGTCCACCTGATGGTAAGTGGTTGCAGACCCACAGACATCCACATCTATCCTCAATAAAGAATCAAAATGCAGATACGTTGTCACCCGTGAGGGCTAAGATGGATTGCCTCTTTTCCAGTAAAAAGGGTCTCCGGTTCTTTACACTCACCATACGAAACACAGCAGTGTTAAGCTGCTATTTTACGCTGGTATTCTGTGAGAACATGGTCCTTCCCCTGTTGAACCGACCCATTCGTGCTACAACTATACCATTAATATAGTTGCAGCATGGCTCTACCACGTAAATTAATACTAGTTGTGTTCAATATACTAGTTGTAAAAACGAAATATTTGATAGTTTTACCGCAACATTTATGTAAGGCTTCCGCAGAGCAAAGGTTTTTTGTTTTGAGTACACTACACTCCGTGTTGTAAAGAAATATCTTCTTTATTTTTACATAAGCATACGCCATATTGAATTGAGGCGAAAAGCTCACGAAGTGCAGAGCATAGTTTAACGCATTGCCGTAGAGAATCTTGGCAATGATTGACGTTTCGCCTGAGTGAGTAAAAAAGGGAATATTTAAATAGAAAACAAGAAAATCTTAATTAGATAATAGTTATTAATAATCACACTTAGACTTTTATGTGTACTCACCAAATATAATGTTGACTATTATAAAGATCATAGAATTAAGTTGGGCTTGGGGGCCCAAACTGAAGAGATAAGCTTGAGGTATGCATCCTATTCCGTAAACAGTTAGAAGCAGTGCAAGTATTGCTAAAAATAAGTAAATAATTCAAGTTAAGGTCAATATAAGTCTCATTTCTGCAATCAAAGACTGTTAGCGGACTTCACATGTCTTCGAAATATTTGTTTCCTCACGATGTTTTATTTCAACACCGAGCACGTCGTAAATCAGCACTTAAATTGCAATTAACAAATTAATTTGTATGAAACTATTTTTTTACGGATTTTATCGCGTTTAATTAACTTATTTTATATTCCCGACGTTTCGATTGCTTTCCAGCAACCGTGGTCACGGGGGTCAATTGACTTTGTGCCGGCAGGGATCGAAATCGAACCTAGGCTGCTCGCCTGTATAAAATTTACGTCGAGCGCTAAGAATAACAATAATGAAATTTTGCACATAAATCATCAATAAAAGCAAGTTAAGTAGTAGAAATTAGGATACTACATAGGAAAGTTATGTAAATATTTTTTCGTATATTTTTGTAGAATAAGCGAGTCCCTTATCCCTTTAAAAAAAATTTTGCTTACCAAAATCTTCGACATGAAAGTGTGCAGACGGCGTTATTATATAAATGGTGGCAACTAGTAATGACGTCATCAAAACGACCAGGAGGAAATACATAGCCGAGTCGTACACGAACAATGTGAACCAGTAACACATTGGTGAAAAGTTCGCCGAGTGGCACTAAAAGCAAATAAATATACATACTTTAACTAATTATATGACAGTATCGGTAGACCTCTAAAGATTATGCAATATTCTTTCATAGGACAATATATACACTTTTACAACAAAGTCCCAAAAATATGCAGGACCAAATTCAAATGCATATCATCTGTATCTATAAATTAGTATTATCTGTATTGTACATTTATTATACTACTAAAAAGAACATATATTATAAGAAGTCAAATTACATTTATAAATTATTCTATTCCATTCTATTTATTTTATTTTTAGTCGGTTACTAGCTAAAATTTATTTTCACATCTTTAATACTCACAATGAATTTTCAAAGCAACCCCTGTGTCTATCTACATGCTAAATGCCAAAGATAGTACCTGCATATGTCTTATGAGTCCATGTTCTTTAGATGGCAAGAGGGTTATGTGTAATATGGTAAGAATGAGAAGGAACTGTGCCAGTAGAGGAGGTTGTCCCGCGAATATCAACAACTGAAATTAATTGCATTACAATTGATTAAAATATTTAATTAAAGTGTCCACTTAAGGTTTTCTTTTACAGAAGAAAGGGTGACGGACGACCACATAGTCCACATGATGGTAAGTGGATGCTGCGGCCCGACTTCAACAATCAATATCTATTATCGATTAAAATTAAAATCCCTAAAAAAGTAAATGCGTTGTCACCCCTGAGGACTAAGATGGAATGTCTCGTTGTAAAAAGGGTCTCCGATTCTTGTACTACCCATACAAAACATTGCAGCATTATACTCCTGTTTCAAGCTGGTTCTTGGGAGCGTAGTTCTTCCCCGGTCAAGCTGACACATTCGTAATGCAGCCATAATATAGCTGCAGCGTGACTCTACCATTTAAAACTCAAGTTAAACAAATTATTTTATAAGTGAACATCGAATTTATTTTTTTCCCCATGTCCGGAACTGGACAGTTAACGGTTGTTGTAACAGTTAAATGGGTTCGCCAAGCCCAAAGCCTTTACAGTTTTTTTACAATATTTTAATTTTTTTTTGTCTTCACTGTTCAGCAATGTTTTTCAGTACAAGGTGACAGAGATTACAGAGAAGACCCATACCTGCGTCGTTATTGTGTACTGTATATTGTATTGTGTATTACTGTATACCATATATTGGCTAATTGTGAGATGAAAGTGAAAGTAAGTGCTTATGTGTGCGTGTGTTTGAATTGATATATTTTTATTTTTTCTTTATTGAAGATTTTTTTCACATTATGTTCTGATGTGTACATAGTACCCAATAAGCAAGAGCAATCAATAATGGTTATGGTACTCTATACGGGAGGGATTAAAAAAATTCCTAGACAGTGATAGATATACAAACGTCGTGTTTTAAGTGCTTTATATATTTAAAAAGTTGTAAAATAAAAGTTGTAAAAAAGTACTTTCCATAATTAACTTTTATAATCTATTTTAGGAGATGATCGAATCAAACTTACACTGGTCAGATCTAAAGCTAGTGGATTATCGGTGACTTGGATCGTTGCGTCGAGCTCGTTGGTGTAGTGTCGAATAAGAGCCATATATGCGCGGGCGAGAGACCTCGCCGCCGCCGCGTAGTCGTAGTGAAGAGGACTGTATAGCACTCGCACCTACGGTTTAGGACAATTTTTTGAGGTGAATATACGACGGCAGCTGTAGCTTTTTTATAGAATAAACTCAATTTGCACTGCCTCGGAATGGAATGGAAGCGAATTTTGTAACGAAACTATACATAGTAAAATGAGCTTTATGTTAAATTTTGTAACGTGCAAATTAGATATGAGCCAATAAAGTTCCGCGGAATCCTCACGCATTCTCGAGGATTCCGTAACTATTACCAGCGCAGTCTATGGAATCCGCAGGAAGTGGCGCGAAGAGTGACGTTTTCGTTTCTCCCTAAATCATGAATCCAAATATTTTTTTCCTTTTTCTGATGTGTCTGAAGAAGCAAATGATGAGAAAACTATGATAAAAAAAGAAAAATATGACTATAATACGAATCAACCATTATTATCAAATTAAAGATCTAGAGTAAATAACTGAACGTCCTCCTCTCGTGGCGCAGTCGTGGGAATGCTCGAGCATTCACGTGAATTCGCGCGCCTTATCGAGCGACGATGCTGAACTGACGCTTCCGTTCCATTCAGTTCCACCGCAATGTAAATTGAGTCTAATGGTGATAAACGAGCACACAGTCCACGTGATGCTAAGTGGATGCTGTCGTTCATAAATACCCTCGATTAAGAATTAAAATGCAGATGTGTTGTCAACCCTGAGGATTGAGATGGTGTGCTTCGTTACCAGTAAAAAGGGTCTCTGGATTTAAACATTCGTCATACGAAACACTCCAGCATAAAGCTGCTATTTTACGCTGGTATTCTGTGAGAGCGTAGTCATACCTTAGTTTAGCCGACCCATTCGTACTAGAAATATAACTGCAATGACGTAAAAAAGCTCCTCAGTCTAATGCGTTTTTTAAACAAACAAACGTACTAAGTGCGCTAGTGAATACAAAATAAAAAAATAAATATTCGAAAATAGGCGCTAAAAGTATTCAGAGATGGCTCCGTGGCGCAGTGGCTTAGCAATGAGTTGCTGCGCTTGGTTCTAATCCCGCACGGAAAAAGTATTTGTATGCTTTTGCCTGCAATTAATTGTTTCGGGTCTGGATGTTTATGCTTGTGTAATTTATGTATGTAAACTATACGATGCGATACAGGTTATAATCCTAATGTGGAGGTAACGTTTTTTTTAAATAAATATAAAAAAATGAAATAAAAAATATGTATTTGTAGTAAGTAAAACATACATTATGGCTACCATTTTTATGACTTTTAATGTCGATTCCATAAGCAAACTCCCAGACGTAGTGCTGAGGGGAGTCGATTGCCCGCGTTATAAGATATTCTGTAAGACTCTGAAAAATAAAATTAATTCGTAATGTGAAATAAATGATATACAGCAATCAAACTGAAAACCTTTAAAAAGGTCACAACGGAGGTTATGGAGTGCCATAGTGAAGATATTTTATTACAATATTAGGTAAACAGTAAAAATAGTTTTATGGCGAATACATATTTCGCTGTAAATTAAGGTCGCAAGCAACCTTAGTTTACAGCCTTTGACATCCATATCTTCATAAAAAACCCTGCAATTCTGTTACGAAGTCTTCGTCATCCATCAAATCTTCATACAGCTTAAAAAATCCAATATTCCCCATAGATTGTCTCATAGAAGTTATTTTGCCATAGTTCCCACGCTTGGCAAGCGAATTGGCAAGGCAACTGCACCCAGATACTGCTGCCCATCTCCTGTTTCAGTTTTCTTTTGTCGCCTATTACGAGAGGTAGATGTTATGGGGATTCCTTAAGATGTTGTAGTTATTCTATTTCACGATGAAGTTTTGACTTTGGTTGTTGTTAACCGTGCATATACACATTTTTTTAGTGTGTGTAGGCTGCGGGCGCTCGGGAGTAGCGCTGCCGATAGTAAACTATTAAGTAATCTGTGCTCCCGAGGCCTACGCACACTAACACAATGTGTATGTGCACGACTAACAACAAAAGTCAAAACTCCATCGTGAAATAGAATAACTATACCACACCATATAGCGCGCGTGGGGTTGCAAATTCGCTTGCGAAGTTTTGGTAGGCCGCAGAGACACACCACACATACCGTAATTATATATTTATGTATGAGAGATAAGTTACCTCACTTTTTGCTAGGGCTGTATATACAATTTTTTCAATATCGCTAATTGTTGAATTTGTTTCAGAAAGTACGTAGCTGAAAAAGTATAAAATTGAGTTTAGCAAAACAAGAATGTCTAGCCGATAAAGGTTCGAGTTAATATAGTTTAAAGTGTTGCTCAAAATAAAGTTGAAGTTAGGTCACTGAGTAGCCAAAGTTTTAAAGACACTATATGACTATGAGAATATATATATATATATATATATATATATACATAAGAGAAGTTTAATTAAAATTAATACTGTATAGTTACGTGTTTGAGGACACATTAATACATCTTATCTTTTGGATGCCGCAGTCAATTAAGAGTCTGGAATTTTTTTACAAATAATAACTAACACATTATTATTAAACAATAATGTGAAAATGTCTTAAATATCCATGTACGACACGTAGCAGTTTCAAAGTTACGAGGCATCTGAATTTTGTCATGTGCAATTAGGGTTACCAGACGTCAGGATTTGTCCTGACATGTCAAGATTTTTAGGCATTGGTTAGGCTTACGGTATTTTTTTGAAAATGTCATAGGTTTGTATTGTTTTATATGTAGAAACAATGAAAATAAATCAAATCAACACAATTAACATAATTATTAAAGTAATTTTTTTTAATCTATCTACATAAAAATGAACTTAAATTGCACTGTGCAACTACGTGCTAAATTGAATCGAATATTAGTGAAACATTGTGTAAGACACACATAATATTCAATTAATTAAATTCGATCATATAATATTAGCGTAAAATAGCCTGTGTTTCTTATTTGAGTGTGGAGAACCGGATACCCTTTTTACTGGAAACGAGGCATTCTATCTTAGTCCTCAGGATTGACAACGTATCTGAATTTTGATTCTTAATCAAGGATAGATATATATGTCTATCAGCCACAGCATCCACTTACCATTAAGTGGACTGTGTGCTATCTTTACTATCTCGTTTGGCATCAATTTAAATAGTACCAAATTAACTTTAATAATAATTAACACAATTAAAACAAACACTTTACACATTTTTCGTTAGATAATCTACATAAATCGAGTAATGAACCAACATAGTTAAAAACTTTTGATAGGTACTTTTTTGTTATACTTAATTCTAAACGAGTGATTTAAATTAATCAGTAGTGTAGTTGTACCACTTCTAGACCACCTGAGTCAGACGTGGTTCAACGACGTTCGTCGACGCCCGATCCTAAAAAAAAAAAAAAAAAAAAAGGTTTTGGCATTGGTCCATTTTTGTGTAGAATGCACGGTTCCAGAGATGTGTAGATCAATTAGCTAATATCTAATTGATATCCGGTAAGGGCCTCCACCGTCATTAGCGTCCCATTGTTCCTATTTCTATTGTTCTATTGTTCCTTAATCACCTTCATTGCAGCGTGTGCGTCGACTATATCAGTGCTATTGTTTATTATAATTCTTTGTTTATACAACGCTAATCTGAATCATCAATAAAACACATTACATAATTTTGTTACAATTTTTATTTATAAAATACAAAATCTTATTAATTATTATCTATAAAATAGGAGCGAAACATCTCATCCACTAAAATATCGTTGTACAATGTGTTCCTTGTAAATATACTCGTAAAACTATGTATTGAACATCCTTGAAATTTATATAGCAAATACATTAAGCAATATTCGCCACAAACTGAAGTCCACTCATTCTGAATCCTATCAACATTCCAGTTCCATCTTTTACAATTCCTTTTTAAAAACTCTAGATGATATCGTACAGGTGATCGTCCATATGAATCAAAATATTGACCGACGTCATTCGTATCGATATATAAAGCTACCCAATGTGACCCTGGTTTATCATCTGTATCCAAATTACATATTATATACGTAGGTACGTGGGTATACATAGGCAGTCTATTAGCTGCATAAACATTATTTTCTAGACTGGGGTGAATCTTTTTCAGATGTTGTTGTACATCTAGTGTATCCATGATATTACTGCTATTAGTAGATTATTACAGTACCTAGCTACTCAATGAATAACATAGGAATGGTCAATTATAGTGATTTCTACATATTAAATTGCATTTTTGTGATATACAAATCGTACTTGAGTCATTGATCACCAAACAAAACACAATACGAAGAAATGTTGAGATAGGCAACGGAAATGTGAGATAAACTGATATGTTTCTAAATATTAAATTGCATTTTTGTGTTATACAAATCGTACTTGAGTCATTGATCACCAAATAAAACACAATACGAAGAAATGTTGAGATAGGCAACGGAAATGTGAGATAAACTGGTTGACGCATAAAGTAATTATCAACTCATTACGGAAATACTTTAGATTAGAATTTTTACGTACTGGTGGTATATAAGACCAACAAATGCAGTCATCGAGTTAGTGTACGGTCGTTTGGCTACAGTGGATCTATCAATAGTACATTTGTGTTACTTCAATACACCAAAGGCTATGGATGTAAGTGTTTATTCTATTGACTAAATTACTTTTTTTCTGTTATTTTCATGTGTGTGTATTATTTTATTTAAATATTGTGTATGTATATGATTAAGCCGTGGTAACTCAGATGGTTAGCGCTAGCTGTAAATTTCACAGTACGCGACCCGGGTTCGATCCCCGCCAGCACCAATTAAATTGTTAATAGCAATTTTAAGTGCTTATTACCACGTGCTTGGTGGTGAAGGAAAACATCGTGAGGAAACCTGCATGTCTGAGAAAATTTCGAAGGCATGTGAAGTTCGCCAACACACATTGAGGGAGCGCGGCGGACATTTCCTTGCTCTAAAACCCTCTCAGAAATGAGAGGAGGCCTATGTTCAGCAGTGGACTTTAATAGGCTGTAACTTTAACTTTTTTAACTTTTATGATTAAGTGTTAACAAATTGATATTAACATGATAACTGTGTTGTTGCAGAAATCATTGAGCTTCGATGAAGATACCTATAAACAGTATTACTACTCGCCACTCTCCCCTCAAGAAGAGAGTGATAACCTCGTCATTAATAATAACACATGCGATGGTGGAAAAAGAAAATCGCAATCGATTGATCATTTTCTTGAAGCTGAATCAAAAATAAAAAAGAGGAAGCTGTTATCATCAACCGTAGCACGAGCCGCTAGAGATGGTGTATCATACATTTCTACTAATTCTGACGACGGAGACCAAGCGACGCATCTCATCAAAATTGAAATGTACGATATGAAGAAGCTATCCAAGATTCCAACTACTGATCATTGGAAACATGCTTCCACTAGAATTAAATATTACGTAAAGACTAATAAGGATAGCATCTACGACAACACAAACGCCCTCGTATACAATATAACAAAGACAATAGCAGAAAGTGAAAAAGTTAAAAAATACTTTTTTAACAATGACAGTCATTAGCTGATCATTAGTGAATGTGATTCTGTTTACTTCAATTACAGGAAGACAAGAGCGGAAGGAAGAGATGAGTGTGGCATACGTGTACAAAACACATCATTGAATAACAAAACTACAACACTGAGTGGAGAAGAAAACGAGAAGAGTATGCAGTACTCAAGAGCTGAATATCCATTCTTCAGTTCAAAATCTAGCCGTTTGCTTAGTTTCGAAAACTGGCCTCTAGTTATGCGACAGAAACCTGAAGATCTTGCAGAAGCTGGTTTCTTTTATACTGGCCATGCAGACGGGACCAAGTGTTTCCATTGTGGTGGTGGTTTAAAAGATTGGGAAGATGATGATGATCCTTGGCAGCAGCATGTTAAGTGGTTTAGTCAGTGTGCTTATGTAAAATTTCAACTCGAACAGTGTTTTGTATTAGATTAAATAGAAGATTTATAAAGAAATAAAAAAAAATATATTGCTGTACTGTTTAGGAATAAATATACAATAAAATACGAATTACGTAGCAGGCAGTTTAATCGCTCAAAGCAGACTGACAATTCTTTCCCTACCCGCTTATATTATTATATTATCACTCTTTAAATACATCACAGTTCCCTCCACCAATAGTACAGAATTATATAATAAAATGTAAACTAAACTTTATAAATAGGATTCTTATTTCTAGTAGAACGGACACCCCTTGAATGCTCTGTGACAGCCTGGTTGGACGTGGCCTGTACAGAAACAGATTCTGGAAGAGCTGAGTCTGTCAAGACATTACCAACCGCACTAACCGTATCACTCGGCCCAACGCTAACGATCCTCTCCTCCCCTAGTTCTAATTCCGGGGGCAATAGACCGCTACTTGAGGAATCGTTCATAGAATGAGTACATTGTAAGGTATTTTGAACATTTTGTTCTTTCGCTGTATCCCGAGCAGTTCCAGCAGGTGTATAATAATCTATGACGTCATTATCGGTATAAGAAATATCCGTATTTACGTCATCTTGTAATGTACAATTTCCTTTATAAGCTATTAGATGATCAATATGTTTTTTTAAACTTTTACATGATTTTTCAATTTTTACCACATACATTCTAGAGCCAACTTTCTTAACTATTCTTCCAAGTTTCCACACATGCTTGGAACCATTATTATAAAAACACTTAACTAATACTTTATCGTCAATAGCAAAAGAAGTTGTACGACGGCCCCCATACTGCTTACATTGAGAGATCTGTTGAGACAAAACATTTTTTTTTACGGCGGATGTCGATGACAGCAGTAACGATTCAGTAGTGACTGATAACAGGTCGAGCCGACACCGCAAGGAGCGCCCTAACATTAATTGAGCTGGAGAAAAACCGGTAGTGCAATGCCGACTGTTCCTATAATCAAATAAAAATTTATTAATTTTTTTTGAAATAATTTGATTATTTAATCCATTTTCCTCTATAATTAATTTGATTCCTCTTTTTACAGTTTTAACGCTATTTTCTGCTTGCCCATTTGATTGGGGGTGATAAGGCGCGATAGTCAAATGTTGTATTCCATTAGAAACAAAAAAATTATTTATTTCATCAGAACAAAAATTTGTGGCATTATCCGATACAATGGTTTTTACTAATCCAAACCGACTAAATATCTCACATAGCTTAGTAATAATAGCCTC